CTTAACAGGCCTTTTACTGGCTTCAATGCTATAATATATTGTGTTAAGTAACTTTAATTCATAAGGGATGAGGATATATGAATTTATGAGGTTATACACTCTTGACTCTGAACAATGTTCCAAAAAGTGTTCATGCTTAATAATTGTATCCCTTTTCATGTGCTTATTTGTATCCGGAGTTGATGTTTGTATTTGCTTGTTTGTTTTTGGATTAATATCTCTTTGACTGTTAGCAAAAGTAGTGAGCTAGTGTTTAAGTGCTGGAAATGGAGATTGTGTGTTTCCTCTGAAGCCTCTTGTATTTGAAGGAAACTTTTTCTTAAACCTTCCTTCTTATGACAAGTTGGTGACTCCAGTAAATGGTGTGTACTTCTTGATTGTAACAGTTGTAATTTTTGGAGGGTCCTGCACTTGTTGCATGTTAGGAAGAGGAGACGGTATGATGGTATACCTTACCAAGAGCTAGAAATAGGATTGCCAGAATCCATGGCAGCTACTGAAGTAGAAAGAGCTGATGGTTGGGACCAGGGTTGGGATGATGATCGGGATAAAGAGAAGGCAGTGAAATCACCAGTGGTACGCCCTGTATCAAATATCTCAGCAAATGGCCTCACTGCTAAGTCTTCAAACAGAGATGGCTGGGAAAATGACTGGGATGATTAGGTTTTTTACTGGAAAAGGGGAAGGTAAGAATGTGAATCACTTGAAGTCGAAGGAGAGAAGAAAAGGAATAGATAATACAAGGAACAGGCAACTTGATATAACTGTAAATTGGTTCACACAGTTGCCATGCTAGCATTTGCAGTCATCATGGTGATAGGAAGTCCTCAAAAAGGGCCTATAAGGCGTTGATGGAGCTACATATGTTTTTCTAGCCTTTATCATGGGTGATGGCGATGTTTGTTGCCGCCACACTCTGCTTGAGTTTACCTTCTTCCTACATGTAGAGGAGCATTCATTTGAGAGAGTTTGTGATAAATTTTTTTTACCCGGGGCATGTAATGTGATAAAATGGTTATAATATAATTACCGTTTTATGTATAGTTAGGCATTACGTTCTGGAAACCTCATGAAATCAAATGTATTCTGATTTTCTTCATATTTTTTTTTCTCCAAATTGACTGGATAACAATGGCTACTATTGAGTCTTCTTTCTGTATAATTCTTCACCAGGAACGCAATGTCCATTTCTTCTCAATCTTTAACCACTTGATGTTTCATTATTTCTCTATCTCTAAGCACTTACTCCAGCTCCTCCTGGCCATCAGAAGGGCATTGGATTAGCTTTAATATGTTTACTACTTCCATGTATGGCCGATTTGATGGCACTTAAGATGCGCATATTAAACCAAGCTTTATAACTGGAATTAGCTCCTCTGCTGGGAAGTTACTCTGAAGCCTCCCATCAACACATTCCTCCACCCTACCATCCTCAAGCGCTTCCCTGTCAATGTCACACAGCACCACCACATCATCTTCCGTATATTCTACTGGCCTCTTCCCTGTTGTCACCTATTATCACCTCTAACACCAAGACTCCAAAGCCATACGCAATACATTTCTCAGTTATTTTCAGTCTTACAAGCAAATTCAGAAGCCATGTAAATGCAGCGGTCTAATGTTGGCAACAGCCTTGCCGGGCCAAAATCTCCAATCTTGCGCTCACCGGAGCTATCTATAAGAACATTAGTTGATTTAAGATTATAGTGAATAACATTAATTCGGTGCGAATGGGCCAGACCCTAGGCCATCCCAAGAATTATATTGAATCTCTGTCGCCAAGATAGGTAACTTCCGCCAGGCTCGTCATGGAGGTGCTTATGCAAACTCCCACCGGAAAAAAATTCATAAATAAGAAGCTGCAATGAAGGAGTCCAGTAATATCGCGCAAGAGCTATAAGATTGTGGTGTCTAGTCTTTCCAAGATTCTTTACCACCCTTTCGAACTCCTCGAGACTTGATCAAACTTGAAACAGTCAGCATCTTGATGGCAACTGAACGCCCATCACGAAGGATTGTTCGATAAAAAACTCCAAACCCTCCACGACTAAGCTCACAGTCCTTGTTAAACAGGGCATGAGCCCCAGCAATAAAGTCACCATCCCCTTAAAACATTGCAAGTTTGCCATAGTTTGGATGATTGGTGGAAGAACAACTAACATCTATCCCTCAAGATAAGGTGAGAGCTACAGGAGGACGTGACATAGAAGAATGGACATGGATATTGAGGACAGTGACAGCTACTACACCAATGACAATGAAAGCCGCTGGACCAATGGCAATGAGAGCAGAGATGCTTAGCACAATTTTCTTGCAATGGTGATTTGGAGAGTAGCCACCAATGGAGTTGGACGAGTTAGGGTTGAGGACAATAGGATTGGGATGGACAGCTGGCAAGAGCGGATGACAACGGAACCACACATCGATGTATTTCCAGAGACATATGAAGTAGGTATGGTGTTGAAGAAGGCCCCAAGAGGAAGTTCGCCGCGGAGGTGATTGTGAGAGATATGTGAGAGATATTAAAGGACTTGAGTTTAGAAAGATTTGCTAGCTCTTTTTGTAAGCTTTCAGTTAGGTCATTCAATGACTATACTGGAGGTTGCTTAAGTATGCAATGGCAGGAGGAATTGAGCCAGATAGGCTGTTCTGGGATAAAATTCTGTACCAATTAAACAGAAACCAGAACAAAAATGTAAAAAATTTGAATGTGGAATGAGTTCTGCTACATTGACACCAAAAACAGGAGAAAATCCAATCACAGGCTGATAAAAGGGGAAAAAGAAAAATGACAATCAAATGGACCAATCCTTCAATTAGAGCAAAAACTAGTTTTGTCTATTTACAACATTGCAAGCAAGAGCCCCTAATAAAACAATGTACAACAACCCATTAGCTTATGGAACAGCAAGGGACCTGTCATCTCCCTAGAGAATGACAAGGATTATACAACAACTTAGAAACATATTATATGATAAATTTAAGGAACTAATTCTGTATTTTGCCTGATCAGTGCCAATCCAAATAGCCATGATACATAAAAGCACACTATCAGCCTCATGAATAATAAATGCTTCAAAGGCAGTCGTAATGGCTAACATCAAATAGATAGAACCGAATAGTGTAAAGTGAATGTGTTGAATGCAAAATTTTTCAGTATTAAGAAATCCTTAAAAGTTTAAAGAGCAATATATATAACTCAACATAAAGCCCTTAAAAGAAATAAATAAAAGAGTAAGGAAGAACTTACAAAGTTGTTAAAGATGAGCGATTCACTATCTGAGTTGGAATTTTCCCAGATAGAATGTTCCTCTGCAACCTCAGTTCCTTGAGCGAGACTGCTCCTCCAATTTCAGAAGGATTGCTTCCATTCAGCATGTTGTTACTTAAATCAATAACTTCTGTGGTCTTCAAATCTCCTATACTGGCCGTCATAGAACCAAAAAGATGGTTCCTGGACATATTAAAGAAGAGCAAGCTGCTAAGAACCCCAAGGTTTTGATGGAATTTCACCGGATAAAGCATTTGAAGAAAGATCCAAGACCCGAAGGCCTTGATAAGATGGCACTTTTGAAGCGAGTAAAGGACTTTCCATGCTCCCAGTAATCTTGTTCCTAGAAATCAACGTACTCCTCACACCATCCTAAACATGGAACATTGCCTGTTAACAGATTCTGGCTGACATCTATAGTGAAAAGGTTAAAACAATTAGCAATTGACTATGGCAATGCACCTGCAAACTGGTTCATTGACAGATTCAATTCCTCAGAAACTGTAGATTTCCTAGAGAAAATGGAACTCCACCAGGAAAAAATTATTTGCAGAAAAATCCAAACTCTCAAGACTTGTCAATTCTCCAATCCAGTCCGGAACTTGTCCCCTGAAAGAATTTCCTCGTAAACTGATTGAAGTACATGAACCAAGCTTCTGCATTGAATACGGAAGGCCACCATACAAATAATTATCACTATAATCATCCAATTTCAGTAGTGAAGACTTGTTAATATAATCTTTTATTTGTATTTGTCCATGTCCTCATACGTCGGGTAACACTTTTCGTATTCATCCCTACATAGGATTATATATAATGAAGATCTGGGATGAGTGGCGTCCAGTGATATATGTTATTAGTACATGGAAAAGAGCATTTCTTTAATCTTTTCCGTGTTTGTCTCTATGTTATTTTTTTTTTTTTCGGATAAATAAAATACTCGTTAATTTCAAAATCAATTATTTTGGGTTACCACAGAATCTCATATAAATGCACAAACATCCTCTAAATCTTTTCAATATGGGCAGATCTGCCCCACGGAGGCCCAAATGCACTTATTTTGAAAGCCTCAACAGGTCATCTTTGATGAGTCTGTGAAAGTATTTCAGCAAGATCAGGCACGCACGGATGCACATATCAATATAATTTTTTTTATTCAAATAACATATTATTAACTCTAAAACCGATTATTTTTACTTAACTCAAAATCTTATATAAAGGCACTCACACACCTCAAATATTTCCATTGCGAAAAGGCCGGTTTTATGTATTGTTGGATAGATAATATTAAGGTTGTCAATCAAACACAAAATTTATTGCATCTTTTCATTTTGTTTTCTTAATTAAAATTTATTAATATATATTCTTTAATCACTTTATGAAATTCAGCATGTGGATTAAAAAATATATAAAGAAATTACGTAAAAGAAGGTTGAGAAATTAAACAGTAAACAGAACTAACGGCCGACACTTCAGAATCGCGTGATTATAAGTGATCAAAATTACAACGAGAAGTGGACCAGCGAGAACAACGTAGTTTTTATGTACCGTATCAAAGCTACCACCTACAGCTTTTTTGTGGGGTCCTCTCGTACAAAACTTTTTACTGATTACGTGTCAACAAAACATCAACGTCGAAAAGATTATTTCGCAGGCAAAGACACGTCGATGACAATGCTCTGTAAGCGTCGTCGTTTCGACTCCCATTTATTTTATATTATTTTAAGTTTTAAAAGCCTTTTTAATTTCTCGTGTATGTCGCCCTCGCTTTTCTTTTGTCTCTCTTAAAAACCTAAATCCAATGATTAAGCTTTACCGCTAGTGACAATGTTATCGATCAAAATCCCTAACCCTAGCTGCTCCTTGGAGCCGTTGAAGAGACCGACTCGTGCTTCTGCTTCTTCAACGGCACTGTCTTTATCGCCGTCGCTGCGACTCAGGTCGCCTTCTAGCAGTGTCTCTCTCGCCTCTCCGAAGTGGTTAGCACTCGGTTTTAGCTCTCTCGATAGACGGATTTCCTTCAATGAATCTGTCGTCGCTTTGGCAGCTTCCCACGAGGAATCCGTGAGTTGAAATTCCAATGACTTTGTGTTACTTACAATTTTCGTTCTTTTTTTTAAAAAATTTGTTGGAATTAATATTAATGAAATGGTTTTTAAATTTTGAATTTTTTTTAGAAGCATTCCGAAATAGAAGTGGAGGGAGAAAATGATAAAGTGGAAATGGGAAGTAAAGAAGAATCAAATGAAGCATGGAAACTAGCTTTAGAAACATTCAAAGAGCAAACTTTGAAGATGCAAAGCGTGTCTCAAGAAGCTTACGAAATTTACTCCAAGAAAGCTTTGGTTACTCTGAAAGAGACTTCGGAGCAGCTTAAGATTCAAGCAGAAAAGGCCAAAGATGATTTGACTGAAATAGCAAAAGAAATCAGTGAAGAAGGCAAAGTCTACCTCTCAACGGCAGCCGAGAATTCCCCTCCACAAGTCAAAGAAATTGTCGAAACATTCTCTTCGTCTGCCGATGATATCAATGACGTTTCCAGTGTTCTCGACTTTCACGTTGGGGTACCTTATGGTATTGTATATACATTGGATGTTTCATACTCAATTTAATTGTATAAACCAAAAAAAAAAAAAATGATTTCTTTTTTGTTTTTGGTTTTTGGCTTGGCAGGTTTCACTCTTTCAGTTTGGGGATTCCTTTGTTTCATGGTGACAGGGAGCATTTCTGCCATTAGGTTCGGTGTAATTCTAGGTGGAGCTCTTTTGGCATTAAGTTTATCAAGTTTAAAATCATATAAAAGAGGAGAGTCTTCTCCTCTTGCCACCAAAGGACAAGCAGGTTATTACATGTTTCTTAATTTGCAAATTTTTTACATCCTTAAATAGAAAAGAGATTGCTATCTTTTGTATTTTAGTAATGGGATTATGTTTTCTGCAGTCATCGCATCTGTAATATTTATGAGGGAGTTAAGCTTGCTGATTCGGGTGCGGCTTCTATCTCTGTGTATAACTTTGTTTTTCTTTCTTCTTTTTTTTTTTTTTTAAATTCCCACTATTTTTTTCCTAGCTAGTGATTTTTTTTTATTTTTTAATTTTCTGTTGTTCTTATTCTTTTTTTGCAGAGATCAAATCTGGGCACCTTTCTCACAACCTTAGTCAGGTTCATAGGATTCTTTTGAATTTTAAAAATTTCTGTTATATACATGGAAGTTAGAGGGTGCTTCTAACTTTGTGGCTAAGAAGGGTGTGACGTGGATGGCTTTTAGTTTACAAACCTTGGGTATTCTAAAACATGATTATAGGGTGAGAAAAGTTCAGTTATGCTGGCATAAAAGAGGAATGAATATGTATACCATCTGTGAATTTAGCATCCAGTTACTAAGTATTACCATATTCGCTCTCTGTTTGGTCTTTTATCTTGCTTCTTGAAGTCCTCCTCTGGAAAAGTTTGTTGTCTCTTGCTCTTTCACTGTTGCATGAAAATATTAGCTTTGCAAGCATGTGTTAATGTTCATTAGCACACACCCCTGTTAGATATATATATTGCAGTTCCTTTTTTTATTTTATTTTTTATTTGGATTCACACCTAGAGCTTTAGTTTTTGAAGGTATTTTTATTATAGTAAACAAAAGTTCAGCTTGTCTGACAAGTTGTTTTTCCTGCACAGTGGTGCAGTGGTGGCATTCTATATCTATAAGCTTCTACCAAATGACAAGCCAAGATCGGAACCTGGGAGAGAACACTGATGTGCTCTTTTGAGGTTAGTTTTATTGATGTGTATGTTCAGTTCTGTCTCAATTTTTCTCCAGATGGTGTACATGTACAATAGTTCCTAATCGCCATCTATGGGCACTTTCCAATTCATTACCTATCTATTCTTTACCTTATTTTTGTTTATCATAAAATTTGAATCTGCTGCATATAAAGTTGGAGTTGAGCCTTGTCCCAACAAATATGTGCATATTTATGTATACTTGTTATTCTTCATTTTTTTTTACATGACAACATAGGTTCTATTCTCAAACGACTGCACTCAATATGTTTTGGAAAAGCTTCTGTCATGAGGTCCTCAACCCCCCCTCCCCTCCCCTCCCCAACCCATCCACACACACAACTTTTCTCTCAGTAAAATTTGAATCTCTCAGGCAGGGTACTTTTATTTCTGATTCCATCGTTAAAATTCCTAGTTGTCTTGTACATTTCTGAGAATAATTTTTCCCTTGACACAGGGAGGAAAATATATGCATATACTGCATCATTTTGGCTATGAAGAAAGCGGAATTAATACCACAAGAACAAAGTACAAGCTCTTGGTGCTGTCGAATTTAGAATTTTAAGTCTTTGTGAGACTTAGTTTGTTGTTTTATAACGTGTTGTGAATCCATTAGGATGATGACATGAGTGGTAGTTTGAAGAATGGAGTGGAGTGCTTGGCGATGAAAAAAATTATTTTGTTCTTCCCCTATGTCCATCAGAAGCTTTAAATAATAATTGTCCGTTTCTTTCCAGTCAAACCTAGTATACACAGGTCAATTTCATATGAGATTTGCAACATAATAATTGGGAGCATAAAATAATAAAGGAATTTAAGAAAAAAATTAAAGAAAAAAAAAACCCCAAACAAGTCGATGAATGGCCATGCAAATTAAAAATTTTCCTATGAAACTGGAATTATGTGCATCCCTTATAATTTAGATTTACATTGTCAAACAGAAACCAACTTCCCACTAGATAAGTAGAGCAACTGACTGAATACATTACACACCTACTAATAACACAATAAAATAAGGGAATGCAGCCACCATTGTGCCAGCCTCTTGTCCTCCCGGCAGTTGCTAGCAATCCAGCTGCTTTAGATATCTGGATGGTGAACATTATTAGGTTGATTATCCAATGGCATGTATTGTGCCATTATAGCCCGAATCTCTGAATCCATGTATCTCTGCATGAAGTTCAAGAACAAATAAAAATGACTTCACCATTATTGATAGAAAAATGTGCTCCTTTCCCACTTTGTCTGACCATCTACGCCTGTTCTTACTAGAAACAGTGTCAAGTGCTTTGGTGCGTCCTAACTCCTAACTACAACTGTGCACTATTTGGATCAATTTGGGGGGTTTGATGCAACTTGAACTTCAGATATTGTAGTTTGGTTTCTAAACTTAAGGCCAAACTGAACAAGAAACAACCTCAAACCAGATTAATTAAGTTTGACTCAAGATTATAAAGGTCTGCTCACGTGATCAACCCAGGCATCTAACAACCATGTGATGCCTCTTATCAAGAATACCTAAATTGGTTCTAAAATGTGATCTATAATCTATGGGGAATACATAGGAACACCTGATATATTAGTGCAACAACAATCTCACCCGGATTCTGTATTTGTAAATGGCATATCCTGCAGCTCCAGCAGCAACCAATCCAAGAATTATTGCCCAAACGAAGCCCCAGCTTACCTCTGTTTTAACATCCTTGCCTGGATATTTTGCAATAGAACATATCAGCAGTATCGAACAAAACAATGAATTTGAGGGGTCTTGCGAGGTCCTAAATGCCATTCAACATGATATGCCAATCTCCAAATTGAGCAATTGAATGGACAATTAGCTTAATCTTATACCCAACACCAGCATTTCCAACCACAGTACAAGATGTATGAACACATTATAAGAAAAAAATTATAGCCAATTGAGACCATCCTACAAAGAGTAAGATGGCATAAAATGCTGTCCATCACAGCAGGCCGCAAGGATACTCACGGATGCATACGGCAAGCTCTCGCATGTACAACAAGCCACTACTACAGCTGCACTCATAACTGCCCCAGGTATTTTTGCATTTGCACCCAGGACATTGGCAGGCCAGCTTCTCCTTGCACTCATCGACATCTGGGAGAATCAAATGTGAGAAATGGTTCACCAACCGAGATATAAATGATTATAAAGCTTAAAACTTCTTTGATGCAGCTGTAAAAAGGGGCACTGTTTGGTTAAAAGCTTTGCCGAAAAGAAAATATCATAAGATGGTTTATAGAACATCCATATTTTATGCACTTATATAAAGCTCCACTCATCCTTTTCTTATAGAAGGCACCAAGACTTCAGCTTTTACCAGAAGTTCCTCCTAGGTCAAAAACCTCTAGAAGTGATTTAAGATTTCACCAGACTCCTATCAAAGCACTTTAGATGCCTAGAACACAAATTGAGACTAAAATACTGCATCAAATAGGGCTTTAGAAGGCTAGCGACCAAAAGTTCCTGCTACTAGAAATATCTTCCACTGAAGAAATCATTCTTCACACACACACACACACACACACACACACACACACATTATAATATAAATCTAGATAAGATAACTTGTATCAGTTAATCATCTTACAATTCACATGGGTTCCAGAAATTTAATAAAAACAGACTACAAAAATCTCAATGAGTTGTCTATTTCTAGTGTTGAACATAACTCTTGATGATATTAAATGAAGAAACCAGATAAAGAAATCCTAGTACCTTCGCAGCTGTTGACTCCATCCCCCTTGAACCCAGGCGGGCACTTGCAACCATGTGAATGATCATCCTGAACAATCAATCCATTACAGAACCAAACAACTAAGAAACAGGAAAAATGAGAGAGAGGGAGAGAGAGAGAAACAGTGATGGAGACAGACAGACACGGAGAGGCACTCACAACACAGGCAGAGTATGTCCTTCCTTCCTGTGTTTTCCTCCAACATCCTCCATTATTGATTTCACAACGTAAAGCCGCAGAAGCTGTTAAATCAGAAAAGCAGATCTTATAGCATAGGAACTAAGCATAAACGAGTTGTATAATTTCACACTGTCTTCCTTGCTAAGGAAAAATATTTACCTTCACAATGTGTATAACCATCTCCTGAAAACTTCACACCATTAACCATTGGGCACTCACACACTCGTCCACGGAAGGTATCCTAAAAGTAAAAAAGGCATCAGCAAAAGAGTCAAAATGAACATATAGTTGAACTACAAAAATTTTCTGTAACTGACATACCCTGCACGCAGTAATGTTAGCAGTCTTGTCCTGCCAGCACCCACCATTGTTTTCTAAGCACTCATTAGTTTGTATATCTGCCAAGGACAATACATAATAAAATAATTAATATTATCTCTATGGTAGTCTCTACACACAAATACAAATTTATCATTGTCTAACTATAACAGCATGGGAAAAACTCTGTAAAGAGATAACTATTACTTTACTGAAGCTCATCAGAAACACTGAAATAGATATGTGAGAAAAGGTCTGCTGCTAATAAAGGACAGTTTCTGTAATCATTTTACCACTCAACAACACTGAAGTAACTCTTTCATTTGGTTCATTGATAAATAAAGGAGGGCATAGCATGTGCTGACTATGCAATAAAATGTTTTTTTTTTTGTTTTTGGCCAATAAAATGATGATTGTTGAATGCCATAAAATTTAAATGTTTCAAAGGAGACCACAAGAAGAAAAATGCATGTGAATTGAGTGCGATAGATGATAACCTTCACTTAAACAAATTGCTGGCTCTGTAGTCTCTAGAAAACCTGCACAAATTGCCTTGAGAACAGCTCCTTTGTCCAACTTCCCTGAATCCATAAAAAAGGTATGGGTTACAAAAGGTAATTCATGCAATCATATTGCTGCAATAACAGTAAATTCTGATTCAAACCTCTATACTGTCCATTATTTATCACAAGAGTTGGCAGTATAGTTACATCTCCACGGGAGCCTTTGCCAATCTGAAACCAGAATTACAGCATAGATGAGAACCTCAATGACGAGATATTACAAAGATGGGACTTCAGGAATTCTTTAAACTTGTAAAGTCTAAGAATAATAGCCTGACCTGCGCATCTTGTTCAGCTTTAAGAACTGGGTTGTCCACATCAGCCTCAGTGTCTCCAATACATTTATCTATTTCAGTGAGATCAACACCTATAAAGCAGAAAATGGAAGACAAATATACTAAACGTAAGTATACCTGTCAGATCTAAAGAAATAAGCTTGCTTTTTATCCATACTTAACAGGTGATTTAAGTAATCAACATTTTCAGCAGCAAATAAGAATTCTTTTGCTTTTCTAGATCCCGACAAAATCACAGAGTTACAAACAAATACATCATCAATACACATATAGGTAAATGCACTGATAAATGTATATAAATTCATTAGTGCTACAACAAATTATCAAATGTCATTAACTTTGGTAAACATATAGCAGAAAAAGTTAGAGAAAACATTTGATATATACTAGGGGGTAAACAGGAAGAATAAATTATTTATTGTTTATCCAAACAAAAGGGGACCAATTCAGAGGTTTTATGCTCCATTTTTAAAGAAATAAAATCAATCAAAATGTAACACTAGCACCTTCTCAGCAGTATAGTAGCAGCAATATTGTGAGCAGCGCATTTTAAGAATCATATATAATAGAAAGCATTATGTATAAAGCATTAAAGTACCAAGAGATCGGATAACTTTATCTGCACACTCTTTGGTATACTTCTCCTCTTTCATTGGGCAGCGGATAGCAAAGTCCGTAAAATAATCCCACCAAAGCCATGGCTTTCCACTTTCATTTGCAACTTTAAAAAGACAAGCTTGGCGAAGATTTTGAACCACCACATCTTTACCATCATAACCTTTACTAAAGTCTTCCTCAGGATCTGGAGCACAGTACCTCCCATGATTGATACACTGTGACTTGCACTGTTTGCTAAAAATAAAAGCTTCAGGGCAATACCAAGTTATATAGTGTGGGGTGAACAGAGTGTACCCTTTCTGCTCAAGTATTTGAGCAGCTCCTTTGAAGTTCTTGACAAATTCTATCTGGCTGTCACACTTTGGCCCACACTCATCGTTGCTATTTGTCCAAAACTCATACTCAACCCGCTCATCAGGATGCGGAAGAGACTCCCTCCAATCAAGATTCATATTAACCATATCCCCACTAGTAAGGGCCTTCTTCATGATGTCCCCTAGTGATTTACTAATGAGGGCTGATGGAATGGTAATGTTCTGCAGGTATTCAACACCAGCATTCTCTTCTTCAGGGGTATCCATGGTAATCAAGGGCTCTTCCTTGCTATCAGCAACAAGAATAGCAGCTGCTCCAGCCTTCTGAGCATTCCATGCCTTCAAGGTGAAGAAACAATCTGACAGAACAGCAAAGTTAAAGATGATAAGCAGGTGCATTTAAAAGTTGAGAGGAGCAAAACCGAAACCATGGAAACAATAACTCAAATACGTAAGACATACAAGTTTAAATTAACACTGCAGGCACTGCTAAGTTTAACAAGTAGTGTAAAAAGTCATAAAGCACAAACTTCATTGAATTATCATAAGTGTTACGTTTACAAAACTATAACGTAAAGAAAACCCATCATAACTGACATCATTTACTTCCAAAATTGGATCATCAAAGATAAAAATGGGAAATAAAAAGGGGGAAAAAAGGCAGACCTCCACGATCAACAAGGAGAAAAGTGGGGAGTCCACCAGGCTTTGATTTGAAGGAGATACCAAAATCATCAAAGATCTTGCATGCGCCTTGATTTGCTTTAGGATAAACAACCGTGCCAACCAAGGTTCCGCCATACTGAGGGACCCCAAAATTACCAATCGCACATTCATAGATTCCTTTGATTGACTCTGGCGAGGTCACTTTCAAGCTGTTCTTCTCGACTACAAACCTCCCCAAACAATTCCCCCATAAGAAAATGCATACGCAAATTAAAAACTCAAATTTTTCTCTCATCTCTCCTCGATGCGAAGTGAGAAACTTTGTCTGATAAAAACCCAAGATGGGGAATCTTTAAATCAATAACTTGGCATAAAGGTAACTTCTTTGGCAGGTTAAGTTTCCAGGTTCATCAGGTGAATTTTCAGAGAAGAAGAACTAGAGTTGGAACAAGTTGTAAGCTTTTTCAAAGTTAAAATCCAATGTTTGAGAAAAAGATTGGGCTTTGGCTATATATGCTATCGATTTATCTTATTCACACTGCAAAGAAGAAGAAAGTGGAAATAGCGGGGAGACCTACTTCTAAACCGGGTTGATTAATTTAAGGGCTTAGATTTAGTTAAACAATAAACGAAGAGATTTTTTTTTTTTTCTATTTTTCTAATTCCAAAAAATCTAAACGAACGTGAGAGGAATGAATAATCAATACATAATTACAAAAGGAGGTAACATTTTGAATTATTTAGAGCTAAAATCATAACATAAAATTTTTAATAAAGAAATGACACTTTTGGTATTTTGGACTACTTATTTTACTTTGTTGTTAATTTATTTTTTTAATTTTTTGATAAAAAAAGGAAAGTGTCATAGAGTGAAAATGAAAAAGAAAAGAAAGATGTTAATGAAAAATTTTATTTTTTTATAATTAAATCATATGATATTATTTTATGTATTAATAATTCAAATTTATTAGTGTAATGAAATTAGATTTTTTATTACCAATCTAATTTTTTTTTTGTGATCCAATTTGTTAAGACCATTATTTGTTGAGATCATAAGTTTGAAAGGTTAAATTCAATATAAGCAAAATTATTTTCAATCTTAATAAATTAATTTTATTCATGATTATTTTTTATCTTAATAAATCAATTTTATTCATTTAGTGAATATAGATGATATTAGTTTCATTTTTATTATTTTTTCTCTCTTTTTTATTAAAAAGTTAAAATAGTCCCTTTAAATTATAGATAAACTGACAGTTTTAATTTTTTTTAATTATTATCAAAGCTTTTATGATATTTAAAATTATTTAAAATTTATTTTTTATCATTAAATGAAAATTTTAATATTTTATCGTACCTGGTAATAATTCTAAGCTTCTTTTTTTTTTTTTATGTCCGCAAACTTCAAAATTTTTGTACCATTGCTCCATTTTGTAATTTCCCCTTAACGAATAAGCCGAGAGGGTAGAGAACATGAAATAGACGCGTTCTTTTTCTTGATTGGCTGCAACACGTCATGCCGAATAAACAACCCCATCCCCTTCGTTGCATCGCCGCTGACCGCTTTGACAAATAAAGAAAAAATGATTAGATAAAACAAGTTATAAGTAGGATATTTATTAGATAATTGTTTGACTTGGATGAAAGTTATTTCAACTTTGGGTTTTGCAACAAAGGTTTGTAATGCGTTACGTGAAGATTGATTTTTTTATTTATTTTATTCATTAGATTAGAATTATTTTTTTGTTATAAACTATAAAATAAAATAAAAATATTTATATAATTAAATAATTATAAATAAGTGAGCCTTTAAAAAAAAGTTTAAAATTTTTATTAGGTGAATGAAGTTTGATATATGGTTTTGTTAAAAAGGTAGGACTGGATTTTCATTGGATTTTGTCATGTAAATTTTCACGTTGATCATTTTAGTTAATGTGTTTTCTAATTTCTTTGAATTAAAATGTTATTTTATTCACAACATAAAAATGTTAATGGTACAGTTAAATAATTCTCCTTCAAACTCTGCAATTCTGCACTATCTTTTTGTATTATTTTAATACTTCTTTAGTCTCAATTTATTTATTTTTTTAATATGTCTCAAAACTATAATTTTTTTAATATTTAAAATTATGATTTATAATATTTTTATTTTTTTTATATTAAAAATCATACATTTTTAATTTTACAAAAAAAATTTTATTTTAACATTAAATACATTAAAGTTTAATTTTTTTAAAAAAAATTCGATGAAAGTCAACACTACTCAAACAAATTAAGATGGAAAAGTATTTCTTAAACTACGTAACTATACTAATAGTTATGCATTATTTTATTTATGTTACTTTTTTTTTTTAATCTAACTAACTAATTCTTTAATTTACTAATTAATAATCCATCATTAAAAAATAATCATTTTATCCCGAAGTGAAACACAGTTAATAATTATTAGTGTTATTATAAAAATAGAAATATCTTCTTATAATTATTTTAAGAGTGTAGGGGGCGGGGATTTTAGTTATCAACATACATTTTGAGAGATTATGTTGCATAAAAATAGGATATCATCTAATCCATCAGAGTTATATAATCACATGTAGCTTAAACAATTTTGGTACTTAAATTTTAAATAAAAATATGCAATTTGATATTTAAAAAATAAAATGCATGATTTACACTATATAAACTTTAAAAAATAAATTATAAATTGGGAATACCAAAACCCAACACGGTTCATGTTGCCAAACACTAGGCTCCTTTGCAGGAATGTTTATTGAAGGATTACCTTGTATATATATAAAAGCCGCTGCAAATAAGATATAACTAAAAATTGCACAAGAATGAAAGCTAATGGCCTGTTTAGTATTAGATAATGTTTTCATCTTCTATCAATGAAATAAGGCTAGTAAGTAAATTTAGACATCCTTGTTTCTCAATTTTCTATAAAAAAAACCATGGAAAATGATTGTCAAATGGTATTCCAATTTTTTAACTACATTCGAGAAATAAAATATATCAAACCAAGCAGAGGTAATTAAGGCCAACAGCAAGAGTCCTAACCAACGCCCGTTTCCTTATTATTCATCGACCCACTACTACCATTAATGATGGTTCATGATATTTCTATGTTGGCTCTAGGCTTCCTAGAGTCCATTCAACTCTCCCATCACTAACCTTTCTCAGCCCAAACCACTAAAGTGTTAACCCACCCTACTGATCAGCCCAACTTGATACTTGATGACCGCACTTCTCCGTCTCCTAATTTCTCTCTTCAAACTTCCTTCTCCAAATACAAAATGGGTTTAAGAGATTATCACTAATATTATCTTGAGATGGCTTAATTATAACTACCAATTTTTTATTCTTATTTTGCATAAAGCACACACTTCTTTGGTTGATGAAAGTTAAATTTAACGTTAGATGTCTACAACACAAGTTTAATCCCACAACCTTAGCATGCATCCACCAACTATTTCACTGATCAGTATGTATAATTTGAAGCTCTGATCAATATTATACCAGCTTTAATATTAAATAATCATTGATGCTCATATGTCAGGGTCATGTCCTTGTCTGCACTCTGCAGTTATAAGTGCATGGACCATATATATATATACTATGTCTAATGTCATTAATCAGGAATAATTTTTTATTCTAATTTGCAACTATTGCAGTTAGATTTTTGGTACTTCCCTTAGAAAAACTCTTTGCGGAAGAGGGCAAACAGAAGTAGTCAAATTTGTATATAACTTATAGTAATTTAAGAACTTATCAACTAGTTATTCCAGGTTGCTAAGTTACTATCTGGGAAAGTTTGTTTCCTCGCATGCAGGATTGGGAAATCTGCTGCTTATTGTCGTTGCCAGCCTAGTCCGGAATATTGGGCAAGTCAAAGCATATTCTCTTGTTGGCACCAACGTTAATGTGGTTTATTCTATAGATTTTGGACCAATGAGTAAATCTAACTCTTAATTTTATATATATATATATATAAAATAAATAGTCACATGCTTTTATGAAAATGAATTTTAATTACACATGTAAAAATGTTGTTTCCTCAATTCAAAAAGTTTAATGAAGGTTTCAAATGGGGAAGGATGAATAAACAATTAAAAAATAGAAATATTGTGGAGAAGTAGGTCTTCAGAAATAATTATTCCATAAACAACAAGTATGAAGATGCGATTCAAGAGTAATTGTATGGAGAATCATATATGTGGTGTTGATTAAGTAGTTTTCTCAAAATTGAAATTGACATTGAAGTAGATAAATTCTAAACCTATTAATATTTGTCTTTAATAACAATTGACTAGGTTATACACACTTCGTTATCTTGCATTTAGGGAATAACATTAACAACCTCAATTATGTTTATCTTTTAGCATTCGCACAGGCATTGGCATGAAATTTTGGAAAGGCTGTTTTTTTTATCTCCTTGGGTTTAGCTTTTTTTTTTCAAGAAAATATAGAATAGTGGGAACATTTAAATAGATTTGGGTAATTTATCAAATCATAAAAATTAACTTTTTGAAGATCTCTTCTTTTTTTTTTTTTTTTTTAATTTTGAATCGAATATCAATTGCAACAATTCAATAAAATGGTTCATTGGGATAAATTTAGTTAAATAATGCCTTCTAGAAACATATAGGAAGTTGAAGTTTTTTCTACATACAACTCGGAAAAAAAATTAATTAAAAGTTACGACTATGTATAAAATTATAATTAAAATTTTAAAAAAATCCATAAACCTGACGAATCAAGTAGACATTTAAATATGTATATGTAAAAAATTACTAGCTTTAACCAGAAAGAGAATTGTGATTGAGCCCCAAAATTATAAGAAGGGAAGTCCCACTTTCCAAACCCACGAGGTGTGGAATTCAAAAGCAGGTGTAACTTCATATTTCTCTCATTCACACTTTGCAATTTTTTTTTTTTTCCAAAGCAGCGTTGAAAGATACGTTGATTGGTTGATGGCCAAAGGTCGGTTTATGAACTTTTAATTGTTCTCTTCTTTCACTTTCAAAGCCTTCTGTCCATGAAATTGCTTTTGTCATTTCCAATTCCACGCCCTTTTTCTTGTTCTTGCCTTTGCACAACTACCACGCCATGGACTTCCCTTTTTCTTTTGAAAATAATCAATCAACTGCTTCAATCTCTAGCTGATCATCTATGAAGTGGTGGCTCCAAAATATCAATATTAAGGTTCATAGGAAGAGAATTTTCAGTCCATAATTTATAAGATGCTACAATGCATCACATGTCTCTCCATTTTTCTTTTCAATTTTATATATTTTTTGATTAGTTACATCTTTCAATAAATGAATTAAAAATTTTCAAATCACAAGTCTCCTCTATTTCAATACATATATCCAAGGTAGAAAATTTCAACGAATAAAGTTTCTAAAGTTTCAACATATAAATCTAAGAAAAAAAAAATCAAGTTTCTAGACGAGATTGATACAGTTCATTCAAGAGTAAGTCATCCAAACCTTTAAAATTATACATTTTTACAAAATACAAAAAAATAAAATAAAAATTAGAGGCCTTCTTTGGTAAAAATTTTTTTAAAGATCATAATTCATATGTTGTCATGAAAAAATAAAATTTGTTGTTTGTAACCAAGCTTTTGTTAGATATTCCTTAACGTGTATGTAAAATAACTATGATTGAAGCAAAACTAACAAATCAATATAAAATACATATGCTAGTACTCAAACCTATGGTCTAAAAATTTAAAACCTCTTTGTTGCCATCAATTTAAAACAAAAATAATTAATCAAGGAAAATGTTTAATAAAATCCAAAGTTAATTATTAAAAGGGCCAAGAGTTTACTATTAGTTTCCAAAAATTGCCACATGCATGTATGAGCTGGAAGTAATTTCCCAATAGTAGTTGCATAATTGAACCCTGGGGAACCACTACAACAACCAGAATTAGGGTTCTATATATATTGATAGAATTAGTGTTGTATATGTCACCTTCAAATACAGCTTATGCCTTGCTAATAAAGGCAAAATTTGGTTAATTTGAATTTGGAGACTCATGTCCTCGTTATAATTTATTTTCGTCCTCTCTGTTTCTGGATGATGCATTTTTTTTTTGTTGTCTGACTGTTTTATGTGTGTCACCCAACCAACCACCTTCTCTTTTTCCCCTTTTGTTTTAAGTGCGTGACTCTCGTTTTCTGGGTGGCATATGTTGACTGATGGCTTGAACATAGAGACAATAAACATGTTCATACTATATTCTTTGTATAAAAATATCAATAAAATTGTTGTACATGGAGCGAGTATATACAGTAACATTGATCCATTCTTTCATATAATAGCTGATCGCTTTGCTTGAAACTGCCTTGCTAGATAAATAGTTTCGGTTTCTGAGTTTTCCGTGAGAAATTAGATTTAACTCAATTCGTTCATGTAATAATATTTTAAAATTTTACAAAATTTTTTATCTTGAGCTGCAATTTTTTTTTTTAATTTGTGAAAAAAAAAGATTACACTCAAATGATGCACCGTATATTAGATAAATGTATATAACCCTTTTTTTTTTGTTAATTTTTTTGAATTTATTGCGAAAACTGTACGTGTGTCTGTCTTTAGCTAAAATACTATTTCTTTTCCTTATTATACAAACCAACAAGCAGTCACTTCAAATCCTATATAATCATGTCCCTTTCTCTAGAATTATGGCCAAAAGTTTTCTCTGAATGAAATAGTCAATACGCTGATGATGTTGTTTGAAGATCATGGATCAACTGTTCTTTTTCCACGCTCCATTTTTCATATTGTCATCGCAACAGTAGACGTTTCACATTCACTTTTCTTAAAGGATATAAAATTTTATGGACAAGATTTAACTAGGAAAACCCAATGAAATTGATAGAACGATAAAACACGTTTCTTTTTTTTATTTTTTTTTTACAGCAGACTGCCATTGAAGGAGCTGTTTGCACTTGGAAGCTCTATTCTAATTAAGAAGCGAAAACGCATGCAATGCTTCTACAATAAGATTACAAAGAAACTAAATTCTAGTCACTCTTAAGCTACCCCTCAAAACACAAGCAAGTCATCTAAATCAATAGAATCCACCACCCCGGAGATCGCGTCGGTGTGATCAGCGGGCAACATTGTCATTTGAGCTGATGGCTCGAACGTCGTTAAGTGATCAGGTGATAAAAGATATGGATTGTAGGTAATGTCATGATCTTCTTTGCTTTCCTGCTTTACCGATGAGAAAGATGAGAAAAAGGGGTTGTCATGTTTGTTTGTAAGGTGGTTGTTTGCAAAGCTGAGGAGTATGGAAGAGTCATCGGAAGTGGAATCCAGGACAAATGGAGAAGCATTGAGCTGATTTTTGCAAGTGTGATGGCCGTAATAAGTTGTTCGATACTTTGGGGGATCGTCCTCTATCATCTGGACTTGCTTAATTGCTTGACAGCCTTGATCAAACTTGTGGGTGCATCTGTAGTAGTTTCTGCAGTCGAACATAGAATCTTTTAGAATTAGGTTTCTTTTTTTTTTTAACACTTGGCAATTTAATGAATGGTGAAAAGCTTCAAAATTTAATTAAATAGGGTTAAATGAATTCATGTCATATCACAAGTACTTTAGTTTTGGACTGTAAATTAAGTTTAGTGTTATTTAATCTGGAAAATGTTTTAGATAAATCATGAGAGGAATTTTTGCTGCAACCAATGTTTAGAAGAGGAAATATACTAATTTAATCAATTTTCTAAAGTGCCAGGAGGTGGCTCTATTTGTTAGGTTTTTACTTTTTACTAAGAATATCTAAGCCACGAAAAATGAATAATGCAATTTAAATTTAAATTTAATATTTTATAAATATATAAATTTTATATATTATAATAAATAAGATAACATCAACTTATTAATAAAAATTTTTAAATAAATTTTATATATTTATTTTAAAAATTTATAAAAATTTATTTTTATTCATGGATAAAGTAACATCATTTTATTCAATCTAAGTAAATGAAAATATCAAGCAACTTTGTCTCTGACTGCAGTCCAATATATAAAAAATAATCTCAGGCAACTTTGTCTCTAACTGCAATTTTTTTTTAAATAATAAAAAAATCATACTCAATAAAAAAAAAAAAATTGAACCCTTCCTGTAAGAGATATAAATGGATAAGATATAAACAAGATAGAATATTTTTCATTTTCATCCTCATATTTTTATTTTATATCCATTTTCATATTTTAAATTTATTCATATTTTCTTTCTTATGGATATTTAATGGGTGTAAATAATTTTCAAACTCATGACTTCAAAAAAAACTAAAAACTAAATTTTTTTTTAGTTTTGATATTTTTAACTTGTATATTTAAATAATTTTTATAAATATATATATCAATATATATTTTTAATAAAAATATATTAATTTTAATTAATTTAAATCATATTTTATATTATTTAATAAAAAATTTATATATTAAATATATATAAAAAATTTGAGTACAAAATATTACCAATTTTTATTTTCATACACAATAAAAATTTAAAATCATATCAATTTTCATTTCTTTTTCGTACTTACAATATATTACAATATAATACCCATTCTTATTTCCGATAAAAATTTAAAGCTTCCAAAAAAGGAAAGACTAGTATTTTCTTAAATTATTTTGGGAAAAAGGTTTGAAAAAAGTAACTTAGATTAGATTAGATTAGATGTATTAATTGTTGATTATGAATTAGAATCTGGATATATTGTTGGGAAAAGTAAGTACCTTGGGTGATTGGCATGTAGGATTACTTTCTGCCCATATTTTCTCCATGCATGGCCATCATCAAAATGAGATGGGGTGATTCTTGTCCATGACTCCGCGCACTTCCTACCATAAATTAATAAAATTCCAACTCACTGTCAATTAGCTAGCGACTGCGTTAACAAACAGATTTCAAGTAAATAATTTGTCACTGAAAAGATTCAGATTGAACAACCCTTTTTGTAATAAGAGAAAGAAGAGAAGGCAAAGAAATTGCCTTTGGATACTGCTTGAAATTTTCTTCCATGCTCAAAATCTAAGAGGCAAGGCAAGGCAATGATAGGTATGTACCTTCTTTTGTAACATCCTCTTCGACCCTTTTGTGTTGAAGTAGCAGTAATACTCTTAATGCTGTCTCCCAAATCCTCGGATTTCCTATCATCCCAACTCATGTTGTTGTTCCTTGACTTCTGTGAAACCTCATCGTCATCGTAATCTCCAATGTTTCTTATTATGGAAAGCGATTTTGCAAAAGAGTTGAAGATTTTCATTACTAGATCTTCACTAACCACCGCCAAACCCTCATCTCCCACAGATTTACTATTTAGCAGATCTCGCAGCTGATTTGTCAACTCCCTGCCTCGCCCAAGTTCTTCGATTGCTTTCCTTCTGTCGGAAGACATGTTTTCCGACCAAACCGTCTGCATCTTTTCTTTTTACTTTTCGTGCTTGATTATTAACCAAAACGAAGAGGATACAGAAACCTTTATATTCAAGAAATTTAAAGCACAGCTAAATTTGCAAAAGCAGGGAAGAGAAATGGAAACAAAGGACGAAAATTCCACGGATCGCGGACTTTTATTACTATGGTTCCCCACGCGCGCTTCATGCAGTCGCCTAACTATGGAAGGAATCTTGTAGGGATTGTAAAGGCAATGTGACGGTCGTTAGCTGAAGCGCGTGAGAGACGTTGGAGTGTTTTATGATTGTTTAGTGATGTTATGAAGCTGATGCAACTTAATCGTCAGCAGCAGTGCCACCTGGCTTTCCTCATTTAAAAATTACCAGTTGCTTATTTATTTAGTATTTTAATTTAGCTGATGAAAGGAAAATTATTGGGTGCTTGGACATGGAAAATTATTGGGTGCGTGCGATAAAGACGACAATAGCTGGGTTGTTGTTCGAAATCAATTGATAATTTATGAGTAATGTAATAAGCTCAGTGTGAATAAACATGCAGTTAGAGACCATACTGTGTGGTTAGGCCTCATCATGCCTGTTGCAATCTCATCCACTCCATATCTATCAAACAATGCCTACAATTAGGCCTAATAATTTCAAAATAAAATAACACTATAAATAAAATACATAAAAATAATATAATTTAAAATTTTAATAAAAATTATAAATAAATTTAATAAAATTAAAAATAATTAAATTTTATATTTTTATATCGATATAAATTATAATATATAATTTTTATATAAAATATAACATAATTATATAAATTATTAATATTTTATACGACACCAATATTTAAATTGACCTAAAATTCATTGTTTAGGACTTACATCTGCTATTTTTTTTTTAATGAAAAAAATGACAGTGAGGGTTAATGGGCGCTCTAAAAAGATTATATCAGCAAACAAACAGAATCAGAATCATAAGAAAAGCTGATACGGGGGTGTGATTGAAATCGAGTACCACCAACACCTCATTCTATTTGCAAAATGAAGAAAAAAAGAGTTGACCTGATTTTTACACAGCTATTTTATATACTATACACTTTTCCACTATTTTTCTATTATTTTTCCTTTTAATTGACTCATTCTCTGCCAAATGCTGATAGTCAAGGCCCTAACAAACACTCTGAAGTTCTTCTGCTCACCAGACTAGTATTCATTTCACTTTTCACCAAAATACAAATCTCGAAAAGGGGCAACTTTCCACCATTTCTTTTTTCTTCCTCGCCAGAATCATCCAGATGACATGCTGTATACACCAGGGCCAGGCCACTCTCCTTGGCTCTGACCAACTTTCTCATTCCCTTTCCATAAGAAACTGGTTATTCTGCTGTGCTGCCATGTTTCACAAGCTGGTGCAAAATCAGCTTTCGCAACTCGTCTGAGAAATGAGAATCATATAACGTCAAGAATAATAAATATAGTATGCTGTGTTAATGCATGTTATCCGCACTTGCAATGGTTCCATACTATCGTTTTATCATGAAGTTCTGACACATTGGTATCTATAACATCGAAACTAGCAACAAATATCCCTTTGAACCTATTATAAGTAAAATTCTTGAAGATATTAAAAATCATGTCAATATCACAACCAAGAAGATTCTTTATGATATTAACAAAGGGATCACCTTATTTTGTCCATTTCAAATTTCCAATATTAAAAAGTTAGTAATTGTCCGAAAAACATTCACACAGGATGCTTCAGTTATAAATGGAGACTAATTTCATTAGTAACAGCATTAAGAAGTGCATGAAATTTAACACAAAGAGACAGAAATATGCACTTACCATAACTTACAATTTCATGCCATGGGACAGCCATATGATGGATAGGGTTGGGACATCATTTTAGAAGCGGGTGTAATGTCCATTTTAACTGGAACCTTCATCTAGCTTTGACCTCAAATTAGGAGGCACTTTTCTTAGTATCTCTGCTTCTCTGGCTACTTGAATATCAGAAGGCCAAAAAATCTGATGCACAACTTTGAAAAGAAAGCGAGGAAGTAAAGCAACAATTGTTATAAGCAAAATGGTTAGCCAATAGGTGGGTGACTTTGCCAAATGGTAGATTGTCCTGCCAAATGTAAGAATAATATAAAAGTCAATCCAATAAAACTTTAGAATTGAAGACCAGGAAATCATATGCTCTGAGGTGAAACTAACCAGTAATTTGGGAAGCTAGGTATAGAATCCAATACCACCATACAGGCATAGGAAATGATTATTGATCCCCACACTGCAGCATGAGTAATGAATACCCAGCGCTGAATGTCCATTGCCAAGTGTATATTAACAAGAATAACAACTGCTATAGTCCATAAACTGCCCGTGCTCCATATATCAATTGAGCTCTCCTTATATGTGAAGAGAGGTATATAGAACAGAACAAGGCTCTGCCAGAGTGTGTCAATCATTGTGATCCAGAATAGTTGCAGATTATAGGCCTCATGTCTATGCCCTGCACCATAAAGTTTTGGATACTGTAGGAGTGTCCTATGACTTAAGTCCTTGTCGAGAATGCCAACAACAATAGTAGGGACAGATGTGTAAATAACGGAATAAAATACACTACTCCAATCCGTTAATGCAGAAGTTGTTGAAAAAGCTGTGCTTAATATGTACCTACAACATAGAAAAGCATCCAATGTGAAACTTGCATTTGCAGAAGAAAGAGAGAATATTTCTTGATACTAAAGATACTGCATCACTATGTGTTCGCCCATGTAAAGAGCCACAGCCCACTACTAGGTTTAGATTTCGAGGCAGTAAAGAAACTGTGTTTGTCATTAGGAAGCTAATCTTATATTACATTAAATGTCATTTTGGATAAAATGGAAGCAATCTAGTTAAAAATTCCTTAAACATCCAACAGTAGTTATAAATATGTAGAAGCAGACCACAATTTCATAACTAATTATGATGTGAAATTGCAAAAATCAAATGTTTCTCTCATCAAAGCTTGATAGCAAAGAATGACAAACATAAAGAAATTCCAGTATCAAATGCTCTCCCACCAAAGAATGGCAGAAGAGCCTAAGGTGTAGAAAAGGATATTCACATAAACTGCACTAGAGGTCATTAATCTTATGCCAAATTCCCACTTAAGTCACTGAACTTAATTTGTGCCAATCAGATCAGCAAACTACAAATTTGTATTAAATTTGGTCATTTCAGCAGTTGACTACTAAAATTGAGTGATTAAAAAAAATGCTGATATACAGTCAGATCAACATCCATGCTTGCTTGTAGTGGGTCACATTAAACCCACTTTTTTCTTCTTCTTTGTTTTTCCTTTCCCTTCTTTTTCTTTATTTCGGCCTGTCATATGCTTCCTCTCTTTACTCTTTCAGCCTTCTTTAATCTTTTACACACCACTGCCAGTTACTGGCTACCAATTAACCTCTCTTTCTTGATTTTGGGTTTAAATGCAGGTTTCAAGTTTAATGGAAGTCAGAGGTGATGACTATGGAAGAATAAAGGTAGGCTTTATCCTCTTTTTTTTTTTTTTGAATCTTGTTTTTGTTTTTGAGAGAATATCAAGCAAATGAAAAGTCACACCAGACACATGAGTGAGAACGAAAGGGAGAAAGAGTGAAAAGGAGAGTTGGAGAAACGTTGAAGGGGAGCAGCAGACTGAAGCAGAGCCAGCAACTGGCCACCCTGCACCTAGAGGAAGGCAAAATGAAAAACGTAGCAAGTTCTAGAGAAAGAGGCCGCTGAGAATTAATGAGAGAGAGGAACAACCCTGGAAAATAAAAAAGATAAAGAAACAAAAAAAAAATGGAGGTAAAATTGGTAGTTAGTTGACAGTATTTGCCAGCACTGTCAATAGGTGTGTCAAGGAAAAAGGTGGCAGAGAGTAGAAAGAGAGAAAGAACTTGAAAATCTGGAACAAAATAAATAAATAAATAAAATAAAATAAAAAGGAAAAGTAAAACAATCAGTCCAGAGTGGTTACTGATGTCATTGCAAAATCAGCACTCAGTCACTTGCAATGATCATGACAAAATGACCAAATTTGATTCGACTTTTAGTTTGCAAACCTACATGGTAATTCGGTATCAATTCATGACCTACGAGAGGAAATTCCCTAGAATTTTTTTTTTGCTTTTTTTGACCAATGCACCCAGGAAATTCAGAAAGCGCAAATTCACAACTAAAAAATGGCACATACCAGAAAAGCATCAGCACAAAAACAGCATTGCGATAGAAGTTGTACAGAACTAAGTAACCAACACGCTGATAATTCCAATGACCATGCACCAAAAGTAATCTTTTCAGAAACCGAAACTGGCCCATAGCAAAATCTGATGCCATCACTGCCTGCCGCCCTTCCTGACCACATATTCCAACACCAACATCCGCCATTTGGATCATTGAAACATCATTAGCCCCTGTCAAAATATGATTATCAGAGATAAGAATGTAGAGAAAAGCAAGAAGCAGTTCCCCAAGCAACAGGAGTTTTGTAGGCACATCCAAATGCAATTCTACAAAGAGGTCCTTGAAATCAGTATTCAGAAATCACTACAAGCCTAAAACGCGAGAATTTTAGAAACTAATGAAACCTCTCTAGAGCAAAGGAAATGCAATCTAAACACAGCCTTCACTAGCAACTGCAAAGGGAGTTATCGAAAGGAAAACTCACCATCACCAATAGCTAGTGTCATGTCATCAGTGCGGTTCTTGATAAGATCAACAATTCCAGCTTTCTGCAAGGGTGCGACACGACAACATAGCACTACCCTACAGGAAGTTGCAATGTTGAAAAGCTGTAGAAAGATGCAAAAAGAGGAAATAGAAATATTTAGGACTGAAGAAACAAAGAGAGTAAATAGATTCAAAGCCATTCCAAAAATCGATTCAAAGATTGAACAATCTCTAAAGAATACACTACAGATACATGCTATGAGCAGTTAATCTTAAGAATATAACTTACTCTTACCTCTGATTCCAAATCCTTCTCCAAAATATAGACCAGACTGGTCCCATCAATTATAAGTGCCAGGGGTGCACCCACAGCTGGTTCTTCCTTTCCAGCATGCCAATGTAGCACATCGGAAGATTTTGCATCATCAGGTATATCAAGATATCCATTTTCACAGTTTTCCCTTTTCAAGTTTTGCTTTTTTCTAGTTGCTGATTGCACACCATGCCTAATCTTAGCATCAGCCAAAAGATTTCTACATTCCTCCTCTGAATTGCCATTTATGATTATTTGCTGCATATCTGCAGTCAAAAGTTTACAGGAGAGACCAATAGAAATTGCTGTTTCCTGTTTATCTCCGGTCAGAACCCAGACTTTAATTCCTGCTTGCCGAAGAGCCTCAATACTTTCCGGTACACCATCTTGTAGCTTATCCTCAATTGCAGTCGCACCAAGTAAATTTAAGTTGCGTTCTACTAGAGCTGCTGTTTCACGTAGTTTTGCAGCTCTGTCAATTAAAGAAGTGCTTGCATCTGCATATCTGCATTGCCATTGTTCAAGTTCTGCATCTGTAAGATCCCTTGCAGCAACTACAAGAGTGCGGAGACCTTCCGATGAGTATTCAGTCAAATGACTCTGAGTTGCTCGTCTTATCTGATCATCCCTCTCTGTGTCTCTTGCTAAAATGCTGAACATTGTGGTATCAGCACCTTTCACTAACACCTTGACTGTGTTGTTTGGAAATCTTATAACAACTGACATTCTCTTACGCACACTGTCAAACTCATGCAACCCCAAAACATCCAACCTGCAACATGAACGTTCCATCTGAACACAACAAGTTGCACATAGAAAGTGAAAGCTGTACTGCTTGATACTCAGCCATGGCAAAGTTATTAGGGCAGGATTGATAGAAAATGATCTAATAGGCAGCAAGGAGAAAGAAGGAAGAACTAACTACAAAAAGTACATACCTTAGTTTATTGCCATTGATATCAATTACAATATGACCTGATGTCCGCTCAAAGAGAGTGTATCCATAAGCAGAGGCAGCAGAAACTAGTGCTTGCTCATCAGGAGATTCACCCTGATAATCAATAGTTCCCACCTCTTCCCATGATTCACTTCCTCCATGATCAGAAGAAGTATCCTGTGAAACAATTGGGATCACAGTATTACATGCAGCGAGGGTGAGGAAAAACTCATGTGCAGCAATTCTTTCAACGCCAGCCAAGTCTTCATGCAACAAGTCCATAAGTTTAGAATCAGCAGAAATTTTAGACTTAAGCTTCCATCTGCTGTTAAGAACAGCAGCAGCTGCAAACACATATAAAAAGGAGGAAGTAATGCTGCAGAAATAAGTTCCTGATCAATTTCCCCTGATTACAAGATTATCATTCGAAAGAAGATCATCAAACAATATATATGGAATCAACTAGCTTCTTAGTGATGTAAGATACAGCCTTACAGGATAACATATAAAAAAGGAATTGATCATATACACTGAGTTTCATTATCTATGAATAGGAGACCGGTGCAACAGCAAAGTCATCCTCTCTGATAACCTAACCAATCATTTCATAAGATTTAAAAATTTTCTTGTTACCTCAAGGACGCAGAAAAAAAAAAAAAGACCAAAAAGGTGTTTAAGTAGTCTATCAAATCAAGAATAGAACAGAAAGTTGTGAGAAAGATTTTTTCAATAAGTCCACTCAAGTTATCAAGTCAACAATCAAAGCAAGCAGGAATAACTAAAAGAATTTGAAATTTATTAAAAAAAAAAAAGAGCAGATTTAATCCTGCACATCTATGGATAATAAAGAAACTGAAATTTGTAATAATTATGAAAACAACAAATAAAAAGCAAAACATGAAGGAGAGCGAACAAGTAGCAACCAACAGTCTAATACAAAATTATAGTATGTAGTAAAGGACATTATCAATCAGCAGAGGATTAACATGCTATACCTCTGATGTTATGGTCCTGTAGTGAGTCATCTGCAAGATCGGAGCTTTCATAATTTTTCCCATAGACACTTGCTTTTTGGAATTCCATTTTGTTTTCAGTAAGTGTCCCTGTTTTGTCTGAAAAAACATATCGTACTTGACCCAAGTCCTCATTTATGTTCAATGATCTGCACTGAAACCTTGAGTCAGAGCTGCTGTCATACATGTGCTTATCTTCAATCATGAAATAAGACTGTCCCAAGCGAACTAACTCCATTGTAATATAAAGAGAGATGGGTATCATTATCTGAAAGACAATAATAGAACTTAAAAAGGAGAAAAAAGTTTCCATAGGGATCCCATAATATCTGTATGTTTTCCCATTCTCCATTCCTTTTGTTAGGTATCTTTTTCTGTAGTAAGGCAAGGTATCAAGCTCTTCCTCATGACGATGAAGCCAAAGGCCCATCCCAAGGGCAACAACAGAACACATGACAAGAAGGAAAATGGACAACCATAATGTTTCCCTGTTCATGTAGCTTTCCAATTTGCTTCGCTTTGAAGGGGATACTGCACTGTTTAGCATTGCTTTTGTTTCCTGCCCAGCATAAACTACCACACCTATTATCCAATCAGTGTTCTTCAGCTGACAACCACGCAAAACAATGTTTGATTGGCTGAGGGGGAATTTTTGTCCATTGAACTCCATATTGCCTGTGAACTCATAAATATTCCTATTAGGCTGTTCACATTGGATCAGCCCCAATACATTACAACCTTCAAATACTGAAGAAACTGTTTCCTGCCTAGCATATCTTGTCTTCAGGTTTGACTCACCATCCAAATTCATGGTCTGGATATAGGCAAGTCCATTAGGGTCACTTGTCCCTAACAAAACCATGTCACAAGGAATTGTCTCGTCAGCAAGGATTTTGACAACCTCTCCAGCTCTTATCTTTTTCCATTTCTTCATTTGGAATTCGCCCAATTGGAGAACTAGTGCCTCTCTGTTGTTCTCATTCCGGTCTGACCTGTGTCTTCGCCAATCCTCATAACCATCCTTAATTGCCGTGACACAAAGCACAAACAAGAGTGGGAAAAGGGACACGGTTCTCCCAAAGACTGCCAGAGGTGGAAGTTGATTGAGAGCTGCAATAGCGAGGAAATACAAATAGGCCACTCGATGAAACTGAATGAAAAGATTCTTGGGCAAGAAAGTGATAAGCGTATACTTGCTTGTCCGAATCTCATTCCCAGTGAACTCGTACTTGTCATTCGTTCTCCTAGGATCATTAATGTAGATCAACCTTGGGTTTTCAGCATATAACAGATTATCATCAAAATCCACGCTGTCGTTGCGAACCCTGCGGGACTTACTCAACTTATCTTGCACCACAGACGAACCCCTAGAAATATCAAAGCTTGTAAAAGTGTTACCGTTGTTATGCAGCTCCATGGAACCCCACGATAGCCGGCTTCCCCGATTCTTCGTGGGGCATTCCAATGAGTGCTGCTGAGAGGAACGAGAGTCAGCAGAATACAAATGTTTTGAGGCAACAACAGAAAGCGAACGTGCTAGAGAGGTAAGAGGTTTCAAAGAAGAACGGGGTGTAACTCCAGCAGTTTCTTCCTGTCCCTCTTCTTGTTGGTCTTTTAACTCAAAACAGTTGGTCTGAGTCTCATCGCACGCGGAAGAAGAGAAAGACACATTGCGGCTGAGGCAGCGAAAGGAGGACAAGGTGCGAGTAGGAGTACCACGGCGATGCACCACCACAGAGGAAGACTCAGATGAAGGCAATAAAGGGTGTCCTGAATTCATAAATAATATAAACTCTCCAATGCCACAGTCCCCATTGAAGAATCCTGTTAGTATTATAATATAATATAGTAGTGCTAGTATCAGACAACTAACTCTGCCTTGTTTTATCTATGTTCCCGTCCAACAAGCCGGTGAATTTGTACCAAAATTTCCAATCAGAGCCCTATGCAGCTCAAAAAACAAATGAAGAGAAGACAAAGAGTGCATAAGCGCCCTATGCAATCGTCGATCCAATCAGAGGCAGCAGATTCATAACAGACCCCACAGAAAATCTACCATGCCACGAAATCAATGAGAAAAAAAAAAAAAAGGAAGAGCTCTGCCGACGATATTGAATGGAACGTTGACAGATCTCTGATAGAAACAACTGAACTCAGCTCCACGGATCTCCTCTATTCAATATAATGCCGAAACTAGAAAACACCAAATGATAATACTTGCGGCATTTATCGTCAGCACAGCCCTGAAAACCCTAATTCACATTTTAAATAAAAAATTAAAAAAATGGAAGAGAGAGGAGTTATCGTCGGGAAAAGAGCAAGCCGCGAATCAATGCACTGAAAACGAAATCATAGTGAAATGGCATTCAGAAAATAAAATGACGAAAAAGAGAAGAGATCTAAACACCTGAGGGAAGCAAAGATGGGATCGATTGTGATAAATGAGGAAAGTTTAAGTTTTGTAAGAAACGTCACGAATTGCGAGAAAATCGGAAGAGAGACGGGTGGTATAGCACCAATCTTGCCGCTGCTTGCTCTTTTTTTCGACTATGGCATCGATACAATTACATATTTTTTTCTTCAGTTTTTGCCTTTAATTTATTTATTTAACTATACTTTATATTTATAAAATTCTATAAACTATTAATTAATTAATTAATAATAATACTTTCACCATCTCAAAATTTTTATCAATGTATTAATTTTTACAAAATTTAACATTAAAATTAAAAATTTTTTATAAAATTAAAATTTCATAATTTTTAATATCAAAAAATAAAAAAATTTTAAAATATAAAAATAAATATTTTAGATATTCAAATAAAATATATAATTTTAAGATATTTAAAAATAATAAAAAAATAGACAAAAAATACTAATATTCAGTCTTGTAAATAATTTACCAGCTCCTCATATAGCGAGAAACTACTTAAAATCACAAATAATATGATTTGATAAAGGGTACCAATTGTTATATTTTTTTATGTTATAAAGGTAAACAAATTTGAATAAAAATATCGTACTATTATGATGATTAAAAATCACAGTTTCTAATTAATGATATAATATATTGCATCCCATCATCTCTTTAAATTATTAAAAGTAGTGCATAAAACATGAAAAAATCGAAATTAATATTAGCCGTCAGTAGGACAAGAAATTGCGTGGTTGAAATGGTGTGATCCGCAGGCAGGACAATACATAGACAGAAGTGCTTCTTCCCCATCTTCTTTCTTCTTTTACCGTGGGCGGGCAATCAAACTTAAGATGTTCGTAACTCAGAAACGCGTGCAACTGTCTCCTAAGTTCTAACTTCTGTCTCTGAAATCTGTCTTTCCAAATTTGCCCTTTTGTACTTTTTTTTTCTTCTTTTCTTCAATATTTTTATTTTCCTTCATTTTGAAAATTTATCTTTACCCGTAGAAAACTTTGGATAAAGTAAAATTGTGTTTTGGTTCAATCCTTTTCCAGTGTTTTGGAGTTTATCAAGTGTTTTAAGCTTTAACGTGGTTAATGAATATCTGTTTCAATTTCCAGTCTTTTATTATTAATTATCTTTTTTTTTTTTTTGAGTCCTAAAAACCAAGACCTGTCCTTTACATAGGCGGTTCATTGGGCCAGGTCTTGTCGGGAATTTTCAAGTCCAAGTTCAATCAGGTTTATAGTCTGCTATGTCCAGAATGAAGCCCAAATGATAGAAACGAAACAAGCACGATCACATACCGCCCATTCCGTTCTGATCAAGAGACGCCTGAGAACTATAACCGTTGGATCTGTGTTTCCAAAATCCATTCCCTAAAGTTTCTAACTTGATCTTACCCAGCCCGGTCCAAAACACCTAGCAAAACCAAAACCAAAACCAAAACCTCTCTTTTATTTGATATCGGTTTCTCTTTCTCTTCAAAACATCCTTAAAAAAGTGAGGGATAGGAAATCCTCCAGATCTCTTTATCTTTGTTCAGTCTTAGGTTATTCCGCTTTGTCGATGGAGAGGGAGGTGGTGGATTTGTTCGAGGCCGCCAAGAAAGCGGCTGATTTGGCGGCCACTGATGCCGTTTCCTCCAATGGCCACGAGGTTTCCAGATGCGTCGACGCGTTGAAGCAGCTCAAGGCTTTCCCTGTCACTTACGATATTCTTGTTTCTACTCAGGTTTTTCACTTCCATTAATATAGGTCGTTTGAAGTATATAGATGGGATTATTAATTCTATACACTAGCAGTGCAGTTTATAAACTTCAGACCAGCTGATTCAATTTATTTCCTTGTGTTCTTTCAAGTATAAATATACTATTCTAGGTAAAACAGGGATTGCCTGAATCTTTTGATTTTGCACACATACACACACAATTTGGAGTGATCGAAGCTGCTGCTTAGGATGCGTTTAGTACACAAGATTATAATAGGATAGGATAAGATATGATAAGATGATATTACGAATAAGATTAGATTAAATAATGTCATCTTTGTGTTTGACGTATGCGAGGATTAAGGTATGATAATTTATTTATTGATCAAAATTATTCTTCCTCAAAGTTTATACAATTTAAATTATTGATGTAATTTTTAAGAGTATAATAGGACATACAAGTTCAGTCCCATGAATTAAAAATAATCCTCTCCACTTTGAGAGGATTGAATCATCCTATACCAAGAAGATGATTAATCCTCTTTATAATCCTATCCCTTTCTTTAGATACAAACCAAACATAATATATTATGATTATCATCCTATCCTATCCATTATCTTATGCACCAAACATGATCTTAAGATATATCTTATATCTTCCTCATTTTCCCTAACCTCAATCTATTTTTTGGTTTGGTTGGAAAATATCCATCCATCATGGTTTGGTGGGAAAATATCCATCCATCACATTTTATTGGTTCTCACTTCACTTTCTAATCAAGTAAAGGAACAAAGTGTTTCTTTCCTTCATTTTCCATCCATCTTTTGTAGCATTGCCTTTTCTTCCCAATCAAGCATGTAAAGGCTTTTCTGTTTTGTAATTTTTAAATTATTCATGAATGAAAGCAATAGGCTGTTTTTTTTTTTTTTTATGTGTAGATTTATCATGAAAAAATGTATTATGTATGTTGTCATAGTAACATAAAATGGCTAATGTTGGTATATTATCGAATCTTATAATTCCCAGCTATTAGATTTATCATTGCAAGTAGTTATAGATTAATTATATCTTCTTAAGACATTGCCCCATGACATTGAAGGAGATCCTTATAATTATAGTCAGATCTGATGATAGCATTACACAATGGCGGCAAGTAGTTATAGTTTATTTATATCTTCTTTCACCCTATTACCGGGTCTTATCCAAGTCATTTGTCATCTGCTTCTTCTTTGTGTTGTTACGCACCTACTTACATGTATGTTGGTGAATGTGTACATTTCAGAAAAAAAAAAAACTTAACCTATGTCTATATTACAGGTTGGAAAAAGGCTTCGACCTCTCACAAAGCATACTAAGGAGAAGATCCAAACTGTGGCTTCAGACTTGCTTGAGTTTTGGAAAAAAATTGTTATTGAAGAGACTATTAAGAGTAAGAAAAATGGCACCACTAGTGCTGTCAAGGTCGAGAAACTTCAGAAGCCAAGTGTTGTGAAGGCTGAAAAGCTCTCCAATACAGAAACTGTAAAGGTGGAGAAAATATCTAAAAGCAATTCAACAAAGCCCATCAAAGTTGAGAAAAAGGAAGCAAATGGAGATACTGCAATGGCTGAGAATACAGATCAGGGAGAGACTGGTAAAGTTGAAAAGATTTATAAGGATGAGAGACGAGTGTTGAATGTAAAGAAACCATCACAGCCGCTGGTTGGTCCTCCAAAGCTGACGTCATTGGTCAAATGTAATGATCCATTGCGTGACAAATTTCGGGAAATTCTTGTACAGGCATTGTCTAAAGTTCCCAGTGAGGTTGATGAGGACATGTTGGATCAAGTGAACGCTTGTGATCCCATCCAGGTTGCTGTATCTGTAGAAGCTGTGATGTTTGAAAAGATGGGTAAATCAAATGGCACCCAGAAATTTAAGTACAGATCTATAATGTTCAACTTGAAGGATCCAAACAATCCAGATTTAAGGAGGAAGGTTCTTCTGGGAGAAGTGAAGCCTGAAAGGCTTATTAGTATGACCCCAGAGGAAATGGCCAGTGCACAAAGGCAACATGAAAATAAAGAAATAAAAGAAAAGGCTCTATTTGATTGTGAGCGTGGTGGTGCACCGAAGGCCACAACAGATCAATTTAAGTGTGGTCGTTGTGGTCAACGCAAGACTACATATTATCAAATGCAAACAAGGAGTGCAGATGAACCTATGACAACCTATGTAACATGTGTAAACTGCAATAACCATTGGAAATTCTGTTAGTGGAATTTGGAGATCTATCATTCATGCAATGAAGATGTAGGGTTAATCGTCTTGGAAGCTCCATTCTGTTTATCCTGAGTATGTGGTCATTGATTTTAAAATAATCTTTTATTCATAATTATCTGCTATAAGGACTTTCTTAAGGATGACTAGTTTTTTGAGGGATGATATTGCAAGATCATAACTCTGACTGTTTTACATCTTAGGTGCTTCCATACCTTCTACTCTTCCCGAAAACAGAGGCTTGTCTTGTGGCAAAGACGAGCTTGGATGCACCTAGAGGCTCATGTTGGCTACTTCTTTACGACAGTTTCTGGTTGCATGAGGCATTTCACGTGAAGTGCCTAATGCTTGTTTTTCCAACATAAACCCCTTTAGATTTCCAAAGGATAGGGAGTATGCCAGTTGTAGAATTAGAACCTACTTAATTTCTTAGTGTACCAACAACAATGCTATAAAGGCATGCATTGATATTTCAAATTGCTGTTATTTTTGTATAATCTCCATATTTTTATTCTTTTACCTTATTTTATGCTATATTTGAGATTATTTATGATTATCTTGTGGTTACCCCGGTACATCAAATTCCAAAAAACTTTGGGTAAAGAAGAAAAAATGATTGTTCTTTTGAGAATATGTTTGGTATATGTCCAAATTTGGTATGAAGATTTGTATGTGAATGATGATTACAGACGGTCTTCTCTTCTATGGTTTCATCAGGAAAGGCCTTTTCTTCTATGGCCTCATCAGAAAAGGTTGTGGAGCCCTACCTAAGGATTAAAACAAGAAGATTTTAGTCAAAGACAAAGAGGAGTGCCTCTGAATTTGAATTTTTCCAATATATGTATCAGTTTACTGTATTATAGTTAAATATTTCCTTTCAAAAAATGACCAAAGAAGAATGAAGATCCATCATTCATTCATCTGTCTCTGCCAAATAGAGAAACACAAAATTTGTCTAATCTCACTACTACCGCTGTGTTTAATCTGAATGACCATCCAAATACTTACTTTTATTTGTTATTTTCTCTTTGGCTGGATTTTGTTTCTACATGCAAATTTTGGTACACTGGGTTTCTTTTTGGATAAATTTATTTAATGACAGTGAATTTCATAAAGAAACTGGTAGTATAGACGGACATACTTGTATTACTTGATGTCTGTAGTACATTCCTATGTCATTATGACCTTTGCTCCAAGGAGACTGAATTTTTTGGTCGACAACTGAAGCATATATTATCTCTGGTAGCCATGCTTTGCTCAAGATAAAGACTTGATATGACTTTATAACATCTATATATGACCTTGATGGCCTTTTATATGGGATAGCAAGTCTCTGAAAGAACTTATCTCAACAACATAATATATATATATATATGTTCTTTTTGCTATCTCCACATATTGTAGATGCATTTTTGTGAGTTTTCTTGCTGTTATGGCAGTTTATGGGAATTACACAAATTTTCGGTGATTTCTGTTCCTACAACCTCCTTTTATTGGTGGAAACAGGGAAAAAATTCAGGAACAGATTGTTAAGCCTTATTATCCGATATCATTTGTGGGATTGGTACACCGGGCAATGCAATATGTAATGAAACAGAATAGTTTTAACATCAGTATGGGATATTTGGCATCAAGATCAGGCTTCATTTGGAACACAGAGAAAATAAATTCTTACCAGTAAGCAGCGCTGCAACAACCAAACACAAGATTACACTTCCTTGCTCCACCAGCTTGAAGCTAATGATTTTAGGCTCTGATACAATGACAAGTAAAAAACTTCTACTTACAATATAAACAATTAAAAAAATTTAGAATATAATTAAAGGAAAAAGAAAAGCAAAAAGAAAATGGAGGAAAAGAGAGGAAATAATCAAAGTTTAAATTAAATAAAATACAAGCATTATCTATCATCTGTTATCCGATCATCAAAACCTCGTAAGTAGGGTTAACACATCGAAGGGTGCTTTTGTCTTTTCAACATACAATTGCATATGTCATCTTTTTTCTCAAAAAAAAAAAAAAAGTATTACGACTACTGCTAATTCAACGTTACTGCAACTAAACAAACTTAAAAAGGTAAATAAGCTCGTCTGGCTGGGGCCTTCCAATTCAGACTCAACATAAAACAACACAACAACTAAACTAAAACCACAAATCCACAATGTAGAAACAAGAAGCATCTGCTTTCTTTCTTCTTTCTCTCAAGCCAAAATAAACAAAGCCCTCATATCTCTCTGTTGCAATCTTTACCACTTTCACTCACTGACTTCTCTCTTCTCTTCGGCTTCCTAAAAGGTAAATGGCTTGAAATTCTCTTCCTTTACACTTCTTTCTCACGCTACTTTTTTTTTTTTTTTCATTTTTGCATTCTTTTAGATATATTTGTCTTTTTTTTTTTGTTCTTGAGATTGCTGGGTTATCCTTTGGATCTGAAATCTTTATGCTCCTTTAGCTAAGGAATTCTGCGTTTCCTTTGATATTTTCATTTGTGTTCAAAGATTGAGTCTTTTTCTGTCCCGGATCTCGCGTTTTGAACTCCATTTGACTTGTTGAATCCATGAGGAACTCATGTCATCACTTCATTCCTATGTCTATTATCATTTTTGCCTCCTTCTTGTTTCAAGTTGTCTTTGCTGCTGACTATGTACCAACTGAGAAAATTCTCCTAAATTGTGGTGAGAAATCTGAGCTTACCGATAACGATAATAGGAAATGGACTCCGGATATTGGGTCCAAGTTTCTGGTGGGAAGTGGGAATTCTGTCACTTCCCAAGCTGCCACGCAAGATCCTGCGGTTCCTGAAGTTCCTTACTTGACCGCCCGGGTTTTTCGCTCTAGCTTCACCTTTAGTTTCCCAGTAGCAGCGGGTTGGAAGTTTGTTAGGTTGTATTTCTATGCTAATTCGTATGACGGACAGAATGCAACCAATGCTTTGTTTTCAGTCACTTGTGGTTTCTATACTCTTCTTAAGAATTTCAGCGCTGCTCAAACAAGTGAAGCTTTGAATTACGCCTTCATTGTTAAGGAATATTCCATTAACGTAGATGGTGACCATTTGAACTTAACATTTAGTCCCTCTTCGATGCCTTCAAATGCGTATGCCTTTGTTAATGGGATTGAGGTTTTGTCAATGCCTGATATTTATAGTAATACCGATGGGATAACGATTGTGGGTCAAAAAACTCCACTCACCATTGATAACAGCACAGCCCTCGAGAACCTTTACCGACTAAATGTGGGTGGAAATGATATCCCACCTTCTGGCGATACAGGTTTGTTTAGGTCTTGGTATGATGATCAGCCATACCTGTTTGGGGCAGCATTTGGAGTACCAGGAGCTGCTGATCCAAATGTTACAATTGATCCTACTTATATTGCACCAAAAAATGTGTACACTACTGCTAGATCCATGGGGCCGAATGCTCAAATAAATGATAATTTCAATTTAACCTGGATGTTCGGTATTGACTCTGGATTCTCTTACTTGGTCAGGCTACATTTCTGTGAGTTTACAGATAACATCACTAAGATTAATCAGAGAGTGTTTAATGTCTTCCTCAACAATCAAACTGCTGAGCATGGGGTTGATCTCATTGCACTGGCAAAAGAACAAGTTGATGTTCCTGTGTATAGGGATTACATCATCATTGTACCTGAAGGGAATTCACAGCAGTATCTTTGGCTTGCATTGCATCCAGACACGAGTGACAAGCCCCAGTATTATGATGCAATCTTAAATGGTGTGGAGATATTCAAGATTAGTGATCCAAGAAGCAACCTTGCAGGGCCCAATCCAACCCCTGGTCCAAAACAGGATTTAGTTGACCCGTCATTGGCTTTGCAATCTCATCAAGGTCCTTCAAAGAACCAGAAGGCAATTATTGCCGGTGGAGTCTGCGGTGGAGTGGTTTTAGCTCTCGTTATTGGTTTCTGCGTTATTGTTGTTTCACGTCATAGGCATGGAAAGGATACTAGCACAAGTGATGGTCCATCAGGATGGCTTCCCCTTTCGTTGTATGGAAATTCACATTCTGCAGGTTCAGCAAAGACAAATACCACAGGGAGCTATGCTTCCTCCCTTCCTTCAAACCTTTGCCGCCATTTCTCATTTGCTGAGATTAAGGCTGCCACAAACAACTTTGATGAGGCTTTACTCCTTGGGGTGGGAGGTTTTGGCAAAGTTTACAAGGGAGAAATTGATGGTGGGACAACTAAAGTTGCAATCAAGCGTGGCAACCCCCTATCTGAGCAAGGTGTGCATGAGTTCCAGACTGAGATTGAAATGCTTTCCAAACTCCGCCACCGCCACCTTGTTTCATTGATTGGTTACTGTGAGGAGAACTGTGAAATGATCCTAGTTTATGATTATATGGCTCATGGAACATTGCGTGAACATCTATACAAAACCCAAAAGCCTCCTCTTCCATGGAAGCAAAGGCTTGAAATATGCATTGGGGCTGCTCGTGGCTTACACTATCTCCACACTGGTGCCAAACACACTATTATTCACCGGGATGTGAAGACAACGAACATTCTTCTGGATGAGAAGTGGGTGGCGAAAGTTTCTGATTTTGGATTGTCAAAAACTGGCCCCACATTGGATCATACTCATGTGAGCACTGTTGTGAAGGGTAGCTTTGGCTATTTGGATCCCGAGTATTTCAGACGGCAGCAGCTAACTGATAAGTCTGATGTTTACTCTTTTGGAGTCGTCCTCTTTGAGGTCCTTTGTGCTCGTCCAGCATTGAATCCTGCATTGCCAAAGGAGCAAGTCTGCCTTGCAGAGTGGGCAGCACATTGTTACAAGAAAGGCATCCTCGATCAGATTATGGATCCATATCTGAAAGGAAAGATAGCACAGGAATGCTTCAAAAAGTTTGCTGAGACTGCTATGAAGTGTGTGGCTGATCAGGGGATTGACAGACCATCTATGGGTGATGTGCTGTGGAACCTGGAGTTTGCTTTGCAGCTACAGGAAAGCGCAGAAGAGAGTGGCCAGGGAATTGGTGAAATGGACGGCGAGGGGACCTACGATGTAACCTGTAAAGGCAAGAAAGATCCCAATGCATCCCATGGTTTTGATGGTAATGTGACAGATTCTAGGAGCAGCGGGATGATTATGAGTATTGGTGGTCGCAGCCTGGCAAGTGAAGACTCTGATGGATTGACACCTAGTGCTTTTTTCTCACAGATCATGAACCCTAAAGGGCGTTGAGATTAGAAGGGCAGAAGTGACTGCATTTGGCAAGAGCTTGCCCAGAACTCGGTAAGCCAACACGCTTGGTGTTGTTAGTTGAGCACGGAATCAAAATTAGGCTTTCTTTGTTGTATTCATTTACTTTTAATATATATATATATATATACATAGATATAGATATAGATATATATATATATATATATATTATCCCTTCACTCAATATGTTTTGGTCAAGTCAGTTATAATTTGTATGTAAAATTTCATAAAGAGTGTAAAATTAATGGGTTGCACTGACATTTGGATTGAACTAATCAGTCCTCTACTACTGTGTATTTGGTTATGTCACGCGCTTATTTGATGAATGATGATACAAAACAATCTGTCCGTTCCTCCTATTTGAGAACAAGGAGGAAAGAGGACCTAAAAGAACACTAGCTAAAGGCCAACGCAAAGCAATGTGGGTGGGGTCCATGTTAGTTTGGTGTAAAGTCTAGACTGGTCAATTGGGCGGATGGATTTGGGTTGGGTTTTAGTTCAGGCCAATCTTGGGTCTTGAAAATTTTAGATAATTTTGGTTGGATGGTTATAGTTTCGGGTTGTTTTGGGTGATGATCATTTTGAATAATTTTGAGTAATTTTTTCATATCATTTTTTATCCAATTTGTATTTGAGTTATTTCAGGTTTGAATTAATTTAAATTTGAGTTGTTTTCAATTCCGGATTGAATGAGTACGAATTGTTAATTTTTTTTTATAATTAAATCATATTATATCGGATTTTAATTTATATGAATTGAATGATTTTTCAGGTTTGGATCAAAATTAATAAGTCTAGTGTTAACGTCAATTGTACATGACAATGAATGACAAAAATATTAGGATGGGGTGGCAAAACGTGGGATGGAATTAGTGGGAGAATGAATGTTTTGGATTAATAGACTTGTGATAAGGAAGTTCATATTATTCGATGATGGGGATGGATAAGGTATTCCTTATACAAATGAAAAATAAATAAAAACCCAAGTATCAATCCTTCATTTTCCAAATAAAAAAAAAAAAAGAATTCTTTCTGACCATTTTTTGTTTATTTTTTTCTTTTATGGAGAGTCTTAAAATTACGTAATTGTTGCGATTTTTTAAGGAAGGGAAGGGGTTTGATGGTCCACATGGTGAGCCCAATTATTGGGAAACCTCCACCACCATCCGCTTTGGAGTTTTGACCTTAAAACTCACAGACAAACTTTATATATTTTCTTCATATTTCCGAAACACAAAGATTTAAGAACAAATACTAAAAATGCTCAAAAGATTCGAAGACATATGCTTCAGTTAAATGTTGAAATCTTCAAAATATAGATTGTTAAAAAAACAAGAAACAAAAACAACATTGGAAATAGTGATAACACATGAATATGAAACACAACTTTTGCATTTCGGATGAATGTTTTATGCTCTGAAGAATATAAGTGAAAAGATTCCCAAGCTGCCAGAACCAGGTCATTGATTACAAGGCCTTCTAAAACAAATACCACACATACATCAACACATATACAAAAACAACAAGAAAAAAAAAAGGGGGGCGGGGGGGGGGGTGAGGAGGGGGTTTACAAATAAGCAACCAAAGCTCACATTCACAACAACACAAAAATGCTCTCAAATAGAAACCATTACAAATGTCATTTCCCAGAATTGGCCTCCGAATCTAAAATGGCATTAATCTTCTTCATCAACTCTGGCTTGTTTGCCCCAACAAGCTTGTCTGTTTGCTGCCCATCTTTAAGAAAGAAGAAAGTAGGAGTGGCTTTAATATCCCATGAGGTGCTTAACTCCTGCATCACACAACCCCATTTGTATTTTTTCACCTATCAATTTGGATATTTCACAACTTACGATATTTACTAGAAAGTCACTGTGTTTCTTTATTTATAAATTTATCTCTTAGCTACATAGGGGGACCCACTATCATATAAAGTATAAACCCTAATTTCTTTTTAGGGTGATTTGAATCCTCCAATATATCAAGATCAAACTGGTAGCCGCCCCACTTGGTTTATTTATCTGCTAGTGAGCATACTACCATTCATATATTTCTAGCCAAATTTGTTTTTTATGCAACAAGACAAACTTCTTGCAGCAACAAGTTCCACTAACAGTACTAAGAGTAAGTTACTTATCAGGATATGGTTTACACCACTCTACTAAGTTGATGTCTTAATTTTATATATATATATATATATATATATTCATTAATTGCAATAAATAAATAAAATGAGACTACCAAAAAAAAAAAAAAAACACAAACACACATACACACACTCACAGCTATGATATAAAGTGGGAGGTGGCAGAGAGACTTTACAAAATACTTTTCGGTACTTACAGTTAGTTCATCAACATCTATCAACAAGAACATCAGAGAAGGGTATTTCTCTGAGAGCTCGCAATAAAATGGTGCAAGCATTCTACAAGGCCCACACCAAGCTGCACTGAAGTTTGCAATTACCTGATAAATCATTGGGCTTCAGACATTAGATACATTAAGGCACTCATAAGGAAGCAACAAGTTCTCAAGTAAACATGTATTGCATGTTACTCAGATGAGTGAACCAAGGGCAAGTAGTATTTCCAGGCAAAGACAACTGAAAAAGTAAGGGATCCATAAAGCTGTGAGGATTATAAAAAAATAAAAAAAAGAAAAAAAAGACAAATAATACATATTTTCTTGCTTATGAATCCACCTAGGGGTGTAAATGATACATTAGTACTCACAAACCATTCAAGCTTGGTTTAGATAAAACTCAAATTCGGCTCAATCATGGTCAAGCCAAACTCGAATTATTGAGCATGCAGAGTTTGAGCATCCTAATACACAGCTCAAGTAGCTTGCAATTCTAATCGAGCTTTATATTTTAATGTATTTTATTATAATTACTATTTTATCCTTATATATATATATATATATATATATATCAATTTGAGCTTGAGCTCGAGTTCTAACAAATAATTGAGCTTGAAATCGGGTATTATAATCAAGCTCATTTTTCGATAAACGAGCCTAATCGAGCGAGCTCGATTTTTACTTTGAATCAAGCTTGAGCCAAGTTTCGAGTTGTACTCAAGTTCGAGCTTTTCACTGTATCGACTCAACTCAAGTCAATTACGGTCCTAAAGCCACCTTATCAATGTAAACCAAAAAATATTTGAAAAATGCACAATGCAGTCAAAATACAGAGTAAAACAAATTTTTTTTTGGGCCCCTTCCAACTTAAAACTGAATATAACATAGAAGAAAATAAAATCACAGAAAACTTGTATCTTCCTGTCCAATCATTTTTCCAGCAGTTATGTTTATCTTGAATAGAAATATTACAGATCTTTTCCCAAACCAAGATTTAGTTATTGTTGATGAGTTCTCTAGAGAAAACTTTCATGATGAACAATGTAACATCATAGATGTAGCTAATCACATATAGAATTTTCATGTGTGAGACCATAACAGAAGGGCTAGTTTTTTTACCTCCAACAGGTATAAAAATTAACATGTAATCAGAAGAGATATAATGCAAAGGGACTTTTGAGAAATGATAGTAAGATTCTTCTACCAATGTCACTGCTGCTCTCTTATTCTTGCCCAAGTAGAAAGTGATAAGAAACTTACAATCTTGCCATCTCTCTTTGCTTCAGACAACTTCTGATCCCAATCCTCTTTGGAGGTAACAGGTTGCACATTTCCACCAACAAACTCAACAAACCGTTCTGAATCAGCTTCATTGGAGTGTGCCTACAAATATCACAGGCATCATAAATTCTCTTCATACAACTCAAACAAGGCAGAATGAAAATCCATGCAGGATTATCCAATAAGTCTTGAAACAAAAAAAGGTCCAATAAGTCTTGAAACAAAAAAAGGTAAGTAGAGACTAAATAATTACCTTTGTTGGTTAAAGGAACACATCATTAATAAAATCATTACTGTTTAACTCAGCATTGTGTTCTGAATGTTGTTCTGAGAGAGGACCCCATTCCCCAAAGCAAGACAATAGTATTTTGAGGCACACTCTCTAAGGCATTAGAGTTGTCACTAATGTAAAATCCTTATTTTCTTTTCTATAAATAAATGTTAAATTGATTTTTTACAATGAATAAATCATAATGAGCCAACAAAGAGGTTAGAAAACTGGTTCCCCTAATTAACAAACTACAAAATATATCCATATACTCAACACCTACAATAAAATAAAATTAAAAAAAAAATCAATCTATGGTATCTGATTAGCATAACCAGATTGCAACACTATAACACAAAAAAGAACAAAATCCAATGGCTACATAAAAACATATACTGATTCAATTTGCAAGAAACACTAGGAGCTCCATTATTCTGCTTCTCATGGTTCTTGCATTTTTAGTTTTCTTATTCAAAGCTGTGGAACTCAAACCAGCTCACACATCCAACAATTGAAGTAAAATAACAACAAACTTTAATTTTAAAATGTTTCAGAATTTTAAAGTTTCTTTATCAAAGATTCATTACATTTTGGCCAACAAAATTCTCTCATCAGATACATGTAGTTATTCCAAACTCAAAAGATTGAAAAAACATTTCCTCTTTTTGTGGTAGTGCAGTTACTAAAATTATCAATTTTTGTTCACTAATAGAAAAGGAACTAAAATAATAAATGCAATAAAGCCAAGAAAAGGAACAAAAACAAAAACAAAAACTCTTAGGCAAAAAATAAAGTAAATGAATTGTGCTAAAAACACTTACCTTGGGGAAGCATTGTCCCATATTTTCTAAACTACCAAAATGCCAGCTGCAGCTATCAGCACCCTGAAAGTTGGAAAGGCATCAAAATACAGAAATCACAGACTGAAACCATGGTAAAAAACAATCTAACTATCAATTCATTTTAATAAAACAGTTAAATTAAATCCTTCTACTTCCATACCCGCAACAAACTTCTAAAGGCGAAATAGCTCTAGTTTTGCCTAATGAACAGTCCTTTGATAAAATTCTAAAGGAGTTGTTAAGCTTAAAAAGTAACCATTATTAACAAAAAGTCGTCATCAACAACAACAAATGAAATCTAACTGTCCATCTAGCAGTCCCAATATCCTACTGTTCCAATGAAATTGTATTATAACAGTAAAGAACAAAAAACTGGAGCTATCAACTTCAACAACACAGAAAATTCCAAAATCTCCCTCTTTTTCTTAATTCATTGATGACAGCTATGGAAGAAGAAAGGAGAACGTCTCTCTAGACATGAGTATTATTCTTTAGCATTTACAGGTTTGTCAGCTTTCTCAAACAAAAATTAATAAAAATTCCATCTTAGTAGATCCTGTTTTAAAAGACCAGAAACCTTTGCCATAAAACAAAAGTAAATCTCCAAAAATGAAATTCCTATCCGATTGAGCAAACATAGTCAAAATGTAATAACAATTCTAACATAATACTAACAAATAAACACGGCTTTTTCACTTATCAAAATTTTAAGCTTTAATTCTTGAAAACGAAAAAAGATGTTTTTTTTTTCTTTTGCTTTTAACAGAAACCAAGAAAAAAAGGAAACAGCAAAGAGTAATCTAAAACAAATTGATAGAAAGGCAAATTAGGAATGTAAAGCGACGTGAATAAACTCAAAGAAGAATGAACAAAGCAGCAGTTAATTTACCTGAAAAAATTAAGCGCGTAATCCCCAATTCGATGCGTTAATCAATGCAACATTTACAGTTGAAAAACTCTTATTGGAACCAAAAACTAAGAAACCCTAACCAGAAAGATTTGGGTTAAATAAAATTTATGATTTTTTGGATTGGAACACTTTGAAATTTCTGATAAATCAATAAACGATTGGCGAACATAGAAAAATGACAAACCCAAGTATCAGACAACCAGAGTCAAACCTCAAACCGTGTCCATTTCGTCCTCGCCTTGACTAGATATTACTTATATGCCCCCAAATATTCTCCGTTACGGAATAGTTTTTTTTTAATAATTTAATCACCTTGTGTACTGCTTTTTTTTTTCTTTTTTTATTTCACATTTGCTTTCTGTATTAATGGATTGAAAATTGTAAAGAAAAAAAAATATTGAATTTAGCCTGTACTTACTATAGGTGTAATTGAGTTAATACAGTGATAAGCTCAAAGTTAAAACTCAAATTTGACTTTCAACTTATGATTTGATATTTTGATTAAATTTGATCAAGTTTTTTTTTTTAACTAGAGCTTGATTTGTGATTGAAATCGAGCTACTCGAGTTCACTCGATTAAGCTCGATTAATATATAAAAATAAGTTCAATTCATATACTCGATAAGAGTTTATTATTTGTGCTCGAGTTCGAACTTGAATTCAAGATATTTTATTAATTAAAATAATAAAAATATATTTAAATATAAAAGCTTGATTAGGCTCATAAGTTGCTCGAGCTAGATATAAAAATATTCTAACTCAGCTCGATTGATGAGTCGAGTTACTCGAGCTCGAGCTCGACTCAATAATAATTAAACCGAATTCGAATTTTATTCGAATCTAATTCAAATAATTTGTGAATATTAATGTATCATTTATACTTCTAATATCATCTTTGCTCTTTACCTTATATAAGTATTAAGAACAACTCAAAAAATAAATAAAAAATAAGTTTATAATTTTTTTTTGGCCAAGTCATAAATTTGTTATTTACAAATTATAATTAAACCAAATCACTACTCTCTCTCTCTCTGTCTCTCTCATATTTTTCTACTTTTCTTGGTCTCAAAATTCTATCTTTTATATTTTTGTTTAACAATAAATTCTCTTACGTTTTTATATTTCAAAATTATATTTTATACTTTTATACTTTTTGATATTAAATATCATAATACATCAATTTTTTATAAATAAAAATAAGACGAGAGGAGTATTAAACTTATTGAAATATATGCACGTCAATCATATAATCTAGCTATAGAGTTTAAAATTTTGACTACCAATATATAGATTAAATAATCCAAAATAAAATAAGATTAAGAAAATGAAAAATTTTTTGAAAAAAACAAGAAGAAAGATAACAGTTTTTCTTTTCCCATTAAAAAAAAAAAAAGAAAGATGAAGGATTCATTTTTGTTCTTTTTATTTCTTTGATGAAGTATCAAAGAGTGAAACTTACAAAAGTTTAAATTTGGTTTACCACAAAACGCTTCATATAATGGCAGCAAAAGAATGAAATGTGGCATCTCTTACAACCTTGCATAATGTTCAATACACAACATTCAATAAGCAGTTTAGGGCTACAGACTCTGTCTGATACATTATTTAGGCCACTTCAACATTGAACGAAACAAGGTTAAGGACAAGTTCCTCTAGGAAAACACCCCCTCTCTTCCCAAAACAAGAGCCATAGCTATTACACGCTAACTACCATCATCCCATAGCATACTTCTGGGTCCAACTGCGTGCAGTAGCTTCATACTTGGCCCGATCAGTCTTATACATGTGAGCAATCTCCGGAACAAGTGGGTCATCAGGGTTTGGATCAGTCAGCAATGAGCAGATAGAGAGCAGAACCTGATTTGCACTTGTGTTAGTTTTTCTACTATGTGTTCCCACTTCGAGACAAACTCTACTGACAGGCAGCAGCAGAGGCTAATGCAAGGAAAGATTAGTAATAATTTCGTCATTGAAAGTGGCTTAAGTTGATGCATATTCCCAATAAGATTTGAGCGGAGGCGGTCTTTCTGTTCTGATATTAATCATTCAGTTCCAGAAATAAATTTAAACTCAGAAAGGAACAGTAGTGATTGTTCAAAATTTGAAAATGCATTCAAACTCATAGAGTGCAAGTCTAACCTGTAACCAATAGACAGTCATTTTACCAACTGAAGATTGAAATCGTTTAGAAGTGCCATGTTTTTTTTATCTTCCCAGGGAAAATACTGTGTAGCCATGAATGGAAGAAATGCATGCCATAAAACAGAGGTTTTGGACTAGAATTAGCATAATATTAGCCGAAGTAAAGTCAAACCTTGGAAATGGTTAGTGCGGGGCTCCACTGTTCTTTTAGGATATCAAGACAAATGCTCCCATTGCTGTTGATGTTTGGATGGAAGACCTTGGTCCTAAATGCAACCTAAACAACAGAGCAGCAATATCCATCAAAAGAGTATGATTCACTTATAACAAGCTTTCACAAATACCACAAAGGGTTAAAACATTGCAAGAGCAGAAAATTACCTTAGGAGGCTTGAAAGGATAATCTGGAGGGAAATGAATAGTAACTAAAAATACACCTCCTGCATAAGGGCTATCAGAGGGGCCCATAATTGTTGCTTGCCATTGAAACATGTCTTCTGCTACAGGACCTATAACAAACAATGCAAGCATCCAAAGGTTACTAAATGATGTCTATTGATGCACATGACCATTAAAATTAAAAATAGCAACGAATGATAAACCACAACCACCCCAAGAGGGTCTAACCTTTGAGAGGTTGAGAGATTAAATACCACTTAACTATACCCAAAAAGTCAACACAAGCCTTTTTTTAAAACCAGATGAAAGAAATATTTTACCAGAATGGTTTGACCATGATGTGTCATTCTAATATAGGAGCACCATACTTCATCTAAAGCTAATCACGCTTATAGGAAGAAGCTTCCCAATTGCATCAAAAAATCGAGTTGGATGAAGAAGAGATTAGAGATGAAAACACCACATGAAAGTTTTAGTATAAAGTGTTAAGAATAGTGAGTCAAATCCAATAACATATTTGTTTGGGATTAGTGAGATATTGCTTGATGGACAAAAAGATTGCAGGAGAAGAATTCTAAGAGAAAGGAGATTTTTAATAGGCAAGTTTATATACTTATAAATATGTGAAGTCTCTATAAGGTTAGGTATAAAAAAAAGATGTAAGAAAGTTGTAAGGTTTTATGAGATAGACAACCCATAGGACTACTAAGGATTTAATGTGTGTATGTTTGAGTGAACTAGAGGAGACTAAAAGGGTCCACATAGGTATGGTGAATGTGTGCACAAGGATATGTGTTTGTTTGAGTTGAGAATACTCATAGGACTAAAGGAGATTGAGAGTATCTATGGGTATTGATGTGACTGATATGATTTGTTGTATGTTTATAATTCTCTACAACTAGTGGATTTTTTTCTCATCTATGGACATAGGTTTGATTGGACCGAACCATGTTAAATTATTGTATCTTGTGTGATTGATTGATTTTTCAATTATGCTTCCACTGATGTAATTGGATCGGGCTTTTTAGCCTAAGATAAAGGAAAACTTTGTCCAAGATTAAAAGTTTGGGCAATAAGCAGCCAAAATGGATAAAAGCAAACTTGTGTACGCATATGTATATATGATGTGATTGGATTGGGGTTTTTTAGCCTGAAGAACTTTGTTCAGGATAAAATGTTTGGGCAATAAGCAGCCAGAATGGATAAAAGCAAACTTGTGTACACATGTATAAATATATAGTCAAATACACAACCTCGTTTGGAATTTAACCGATTCATAAGCTAATGACTAACGACACAGTTGGAAACAATGAAAAAGTAGTCTGCCCATTCATAAACGACTATCAGAGCAAAATAACGGATAAGATCAACAATATAATTATTAGGAGGGCATAAAATTAAAGCATATCTAGAACATGCAATGGAACCTGCACTGCAAGAAGTGGGTGGATCCTTCTGCAAATCCTTGAGTTCCTTCAAAATCCGCTTTGAAGCCATGATGCTTGATCAGAACACAAGGATCCTACCCGGACTGGAGCCTGGAAAAGGAACATCACAATAAAACCCACTCATAAATGACAATATATGGCATCAAAGGGAAAACAAAACTGGGAGAAAGTAACAGAAAGGAAAGGACACGTTAAAAATAAAAACACCGCTTTTCTCCTCCCGCACTTCACACTCAAAGTCGGTCGCTGAAAACAGAGAGACAGTGAGAGAGAAAGAACAGTGGGGGCTTCTAGGCCATCTTATACACATGTCTGAGTCTTACATACGGCTTCACAGTTAAAAAGGGAAAGTAATATAGATTTTATTAAAAAGATAACTTTTCTATTTTTATTATATAAAATTGTATTGATTTTTTTTTATTTCTCTCAATGGCAATGAAAATCTTGAAAGTTTTAAGCGTCATTAAAATTTAATCTAGAATTAATGTGTTTATTAATTTTTTAATGAATATATTATATTCATATAATAAAAATTGATTTACTTAAATACTTTAACTTAATTCAAGTGATAATTACGAGACAAATTTTGAGTAAAAAATTTACATTTCAAGCCATATTGTCTCCTTTTTTTTTTTTTCTATTAAAAATGTTTGATTGTATGTACACTAAAAATTGTTTAATTTCAGGTGTAATTACTATTTGTAAAAATTGTAGATAGGCAACCTCATCAAATAAAAAAAGTAAAATTTCATATTTAATAAGTAATTTATTTGAATTTTAAGCATTTAAAAATTAAAAAAAAATTTATCCTTAAACCTAGGTATTAATTAGATTAAAAGGTAATAATGTTTTTAAATAAAAATTTAATAATTTAATTTTTTAATTTTTTATTATAATTAATTAAATATTCAAATATTTATTTTTATCAATTAAATTTTTATTGAACGAAAATTCATTAATTATAAACATAAATTTATGTCTAAAATATTAAAAATTTAAATAATTATTAAATTTTTGTTGAAAATTTTTTTTCCCTTTTGTCGTTAATTAATAATGGAGAGAGAAGCTTTAAGAGGTACAAATTTATAAGTATTAAATATAAAAAAGAAAACATTTTTATATAATTAATAAATATTAATTATTAAGTTGAGAGAGAAAAAGAAAAAAAGGGGAAGGATCGAAAGCCCTAAACGAGTCAAGACAAAAAGATTTCATCAAAAGTTTCTCTATTGGATTTGGTGCTCCATCATCCATCCATAAATTGTTGTCTTTATTCTTCGTTGGATCGAGTCTAAACGAAAATGGAGGATGAGAAGAAGAAAAACAATAAGAGAAACAAGAAAAAGAAAAACAAGCAGCGCATAACTCCCGAAGCAGACGAAGATTTCAATGGTCATATCGGCGATTGCTTCCACGATGACAATGCGGAGCTGGATCTGGATACGCATCAGCCAAATGGCGCTCTTGCCTTGGATTTGCTTAAAGAATTACGGAAAGAGAATGAATCACATGTACAGACAGAGGTAATATAGATTCATCTAATCTCTCAACTCGCTCTTTATTATCATTTATTCATTTGCCTTGGATTTGATTGCCATCATATTTCTACAGGCTACTTTGCAAGAGAAAATCAAGCACTTACAAGATGAAAACGAATCATACATACAGAAAGAGGTTAATTTGATGTTATAATGGGAGGAAATAAGCAAATTATGTTGTTAAATTTTGTTTAAACTAGAAAATGTTTGTTTTGTTCCCTGTCTTTTCTTGTGTACTTAATTTTGTAGTTTAAGCGTTTGTGTTATACAGGCTACTTTAGAAGAGACAATCAAGCAGTTAAGAAATGAGTTTGATTCACACCTAAAGAAAGAGGTAATATCATGCGAATCTAATTGCCCCTATCAACTGAAAAATGTTTCTTGAAATTGCTTTCAGATATATATATATATATATATATATATATATATATTAAAAAAACTGTTCTCTAGTTTGGTCGTGTTTCAATGTTTCCTTGTTTTGATTTCTTTTGTGAAGCGTGTGTGACTCACTTTTTTCTTATAGGTTTCCTTAGAAGAGACAATCCTGAAATTACAACATAGAAATGATACACACCTACAGAAAGAGGTAATGCTGGGGTTAACAGCTAAAATTCTCTTCAACTTTTTGAATACATAAAGGATGGCTTTACATTTTTCTATCTGCGTGTCGTCATATAAAAATTTCTGTTGCAATTTAAACTTCTCTCTTGTTGAAGCATAAAGTAGCCCTCCATCTTCTTGCAGGCTTCCTTAGAGGAGACAATCCAACAATTGCAATTTGAAAATGAATCACATATGCAGAAAGTGGTAACATACTAAATTTTTCTTTTTCTTTTTTTTTTTGGTACAACATACTAAAGTTAATATGTATTTTCATATGCACATATTTGTGGGGTTAAAGGGCTATTATTTTCCTGACTTTAATTTAATGTCCTTTATTTCCCTTCTCTCTTGGAAACTGTTTTATCTAATGAGATGACTTACAGGTTGGTTTAGAGATGAATATTGTAGAATTACATAGTGAAAAAGAACTCTGGCTTCAAGAAAAGGTAATTTAGGTTGATAGATTATTATATTAGGAAACATCTTTTGACATCTTGTTTTCCCCATATTCGCCCTTATCCTTTAATGACAAATGAACTTCTAATAAAGCAGCTATCTGTCTCTTTGTATATTTAGCATTGTCATTTGAAGGAATTTAGCAAAATTTGGGATGAATTTGGTAATTTGATGACATGCCACATGCAGGCCAGCTTGGAGGAGAATAACAATCAGTTACTGGAGGAAAAAACTGCTCTGGATCTGAAAGCGGTAAATTTCTATTTGGCTTCATTAGTTTTCCGTTTGTCTTGATTTGCTTTTTGTGTCTGTGTTTTTGGGTTTAAATCTTTTCTGGGTATATTTATTTGTGTTGCTTGCCTAATTGTGTAGTCTTTCCTACAAATTTGTGTTTTGTAATCTTGAAAAAGTTGGATAATAACATGCAGGCAAACTTGGAGGAGAATATTAAACAGCTAGAGAAAGAGAAAGAGTCTTCGATTCTGACAGAGGTAGTCAATTTTGCTCTTATCATGTGTTTGAATAATGCATTTTATTGGGAGATGGTTATCTGTTGGAACTAAGAGCCTGGGATCTGGTTGGATTCTATTTGGAGAGTGTTCAGAATCACATTGACCATTTATGGTTTTTTTTGGGAAATGGTGCTTTATAAGGAATAAGGACTTGAGATTGAATTGAATTCTGAATCTTAAGCATTTTAAAGTATAATAATCAGTTTTGTTGTTCTGATTTAAATATTGACCGTTTACAGAATTCCACCAAAGAAGCAATTTCTAGCCTTAATCGTGATATTACAAGACTAAAAATGCAGGTACAGCATTTTCACCCTCTTACTATGAAGGCTTCTTTGTTAGCAGGTTATTGGGCTCTATGGTGTGATTTATCCCCTATTTTGCTTGACAAAATTCAATGAGTGATTCTCAATTATCAGTATTGCCAACTGTGGGCTGCACAAAACTCAAACCATTTTGCAATACAACTCTTTTTGTTCTGATGTGGAAATTAAAACAAAGCTTGGCAGGTGGTTGAGTTGGAAGAATCCAGGAGCAAGCTTTTGCAAGAAAATCAGCAGCTCACAGAAAATGTATCCGGCCTGCAGTTATATATTCAAAACCTTGAGAGGAACATGACCTCTGGTCCGTCATCAGATGAACTTAAAAAGGTTTGGTTCCTTTAACTTACTTTTAGCTCCCTTTTTCTCTAGTGTGTTGGCTATTCTGTTTTCGGTTGTATCAAATTTCGCTAGTTTCACCATAATTGAGGATTCATGAGAGATGTTTGGATTTGCCTCCATGGTTGTTTGTTATTTTGGGAGGTTTCCTCTGCCAAAAGTTGGTTTAAGCTTTGTTGTATTGAAGTTATTCAGAAATATTCAAACAAATGAACAAATAATTACTTATGGTCTACTTAGCAATTAAAGGTTACAACGTACAGTGTTTATGTCTGAAGAAATTTTGGGAGAGAGAACAATGTAGTTGACTAGTTTTCTCTAATGTAGCAAGCTTCTGGCGATGAGGACCTGAACTCTCAGATTGAAGCAGCAATTGCTCTGGTTGACAAACTGATCATGGAGAATGCAGAGCTTGTTGAGAAGGTGCCTCTCATCCTGCAATACACTGATTTATTTTTGGTACTATTTTTTCTTTTTAAAGACAATGTACAGGACTTTTTCATGTTGTGAATTTGCCTAACTTTGTGTCAGGTGAACGAGTTGTATGTTAAGCTTAATCGACAAAGTATGGCAGCAGGACATTCTACAGGCATTGAAAGTGTTCCGATGGCTAAAGTTGCTGAAACTGCAAGTGTGTCTAATTCTGTAGCTCTATCCGTTGAGAATGGTTCTATGTTGGCTCCAAAGATGGATGCTGTAGAAGCTGCTCCAGTTTACAATGGGAAAATTGATGGTGAGAATGTGGATGGGCAACATGTTGCTCCTCTTCCAATTTTTATAGAGGCTGAGGACTCTGGAGAGATTGTGCAAATTCCTTTGGATGATACTGATGTTCGGGATTTGGAGTCACAAGCTACTGACGGTGAAGAAAATTTTGTGCCAATCTCAGATGCTCCCTTGATTGGTGCTCCATTCCGGTTAATATCGTTTGCGGCTAAATATGTTAGTGGCGCTGACCTGGTTAACAACTAACAAGGACACTTTAAGCTCGGCGTCTTAGCTTAGAAGCATTTTTCATTTACTATCGATAATATTTATTATTATTATTTGGAATCTACATGGTTTACATTTGAACTAGAGATTAAAGATGGGCCTAAATTGGGCCGTCTACATTGTTTTGTGACTGATAAATATGTGTGCCGAGAGGGAGCACTAATTTTATGTTTGGTGTTGTGGATAACTGTCATTCTTGTTGGTGTTGTTCAAACCATTTGCATTATATCGGATGGGATGGTCGTCCGAAGGACATGCAATGGCCTGTCATGCAGCAAAACTTCTTGGGTTTCATTGTAATAATTAATGTTTTTCTTATATATACTGATCGGGTGCGATTATTCCACTGATTTTCCCAACATTCTACAATTTTGGGCCTTTTATTCTTCCACATATGACGACGACGCATTTGACTGTTGGAGCAAACATAGATGGTGGCCTCCTTAACATCCACCTTGAATCCTCGTTGTTGTGCCTGACGTCTGAACTCATAACATCGACAGCATGGCTGCGTTGATCATGGGGTTTGAGTATTCGAGTCCTGGGACCTGTTGTCCTCCAAAGAGGGCCGGTTTTCAGAATCAGATGACCGAAATTCTTCAATCATCCTAGTTACTTCCTCCATTGTAGACCTGGCATCCCGCAACCTTGCTACACGTTTCATTGCTATCTGAAGCATCTACACCAGCGATCCTTCAACATTTTGATATTTCATCAGCTCTAAATCAAACACTTCAGCAGTCCATTCCTCTCTAACAACAAACCCACCTTGGAAGGTCAATCATATCTTCATGCCCTGATGATTGGACTGGTGTCACTGTCAGCATCTGTAGAAGTACACCAAAACAGTAGACATCGGACTTTTGAGTAAATTTTCGAGTTTCAATCACCCCAGGATCTCGAAATCCTTCGCTTCTAGATGGAACAGTGACACCAAATCAGAAATGCAGCCATGCAAGTCTTCAGTACTTGATGTTGCCATGGATGAATTTTCCAACTTGTTCTTCTCAGCCTCTTGCATCCCACTCCCAAAATCCTCCTTAGGTTTCTCACTTCGAGCACCTTTCGGTTTTTGATGTAAGAGTAAAGCAACATAAAATACACTAGCGCAGAACCTCCGATTGCTACGCTGAAGGTAAACGTAACGAAGAGAGGGAAGGTTCCTGCTGAGGCGATTGGGTCAGAGGCTGAGTGTCATGAGCCAACCTTGTATAGGGCCATGATCAGGCTTAGGTTGTCATGAACTACCCATATATAGGGTTATGACTGGGTAGAGGTGCCAATGGGGGAAGGTAAATCTTTTGTGTTAAGAAAAGTGTCCTCATTTCAAACATTGTAACGGTTAGTGGTGGCATAGCTTTAAAATCTCGTTTGCTCTTTAGAGGGGGTGAGCAGTCAATGTATTATTGGGCTGCCTCACTGATTAAGGTATGTGTTAGGCCACCCGTCAAGGACTGCCCCTTTAGCCCTGACGATGGTGGGAAGTCTCAATGTACTATTCTCGATATTAATAAAATATTTTTTTATTCGAAAATCTCGAGTGTTGCCCTGATGTGTTTTTCCTTTCTCCCGATATGAATGTGCTTACTTGTGTATGCTTGAGATTAACTTGTGACTTGTTGTTGCCTGTTCAGATATCGAGTTATCCTAGGCTGACTTGGGTGGAAGCATCCATTCTAGTGTCACACAGTCTATCGTTTCATTGAGAGAAAGCTTAGCCCGTGATACGTGATATCAGAGCACGGTTGAGAAATGCTAGAGAATTGATGAAATGGTCACGAGTGGTGGATCCACTTATCAACAGAGACTTGAGGAGCTTGAGGCCTCGATGGCCGCGTTAAAAGCTCATGTGGTGACCAATGATCGACTGAGGGAGATCGAGACAACCCAGTGAGAGTTGTCTGATACTTTACATAGCTTGAGCAAGGAGGCTAGAGATGCCTTGAATGTTCTTCAAAAAGAGTTTGAGGAGCTCAGAGCGCAAGTGAGCATCTTATAGATGGTTGTGGCCATATCAAGTTCTAGCTCGACGAAAAGGGAAAAAAGGGTTAAGTTGCTGGAACCTCTATGCTATGAGGGGACGAGAGATGCTAAAGAGCTAGAAAACTTCTTGTTTGACATGAAACAATACTTTCAAGCTGTACACACTGATTCAGAGGAAGATAAGGTAGCAATGGCATTGATGTACCTTATAAGGGATGCCAAGCTGTGGTGGCATTCAAAGTTTGTCAACGATAAGTGCTCGATTAAAACTTGGGCGGATCTGAAATAGGAATTGAAAAACCAGTTCTTCCCTGAAAATGTGAAGTATATGGCCCAAAGGAAACTTCGAGAATTGGTGCAAACGGGAACAATGTGAGAGTTTGTAAGGAGTTTTTCTACCTTGATGTTAGATATTAGAGACATGTCCGAAAAGGACAAGATGTTTTATTTCCTTGAAGGCCTCAAGCCTTGGGCCAAGATAGAACTATAAAGACAGAAAGTGCAAGATGTGGCCACTGCCATAGCTGCAACCGAACGTCTCCATGATTATAATGATGGCTCCTTAAAATGAAAAAAATCTTCCATCAGGTGGTAGTAACTTCAACTTTGAGAGTGGGGAAAAGATGACCAGAGTGGATTGACCCTTTAGTGGGGGATCAAATAGGAGGCCCTTTGGTCAAGACAGCACCCAACCCAAGGCAAACAATGTAGTGACTTTCAAGCTTAGGCAACCGCTAGCTTGCTTATTATGCAAGAGGCCACATCGAGTGGTTGAATGCCCATACAAAAGAGCCCTTAATGCCTTAAGAGCCTCATCTCAAGAGTCTGCAAAAACATCAGAGACAGTTGAAGAGGAGCCAGCCAAGATGGGTTCAATAAGGTTCTTTAATGCCTTTCGTACCTAATTAAGCACCATAAAGAAAGAACAGGGTAGAGGCCTGATGCATGTGAACCTAATACTCAACGAGAAGATCACCAAGGTCATAGTAGACACAGGTGCAACCGACACCTTCATCACACCAAAGAAAGCACAAAGGTGTGGTCTGAAGGTCAGTAAGGACTGTAGGCAAATAAAAGGCATTAATTCACCAGCCTTTGTGATCAATGAAAGCTCTAAAAGTGTGATGACCAAGTTAGGGTCATGGAAAGGGAAGGTAGACTTTACAGTTACCCTCATGGATGACTTTGATGTTGTCATCGGATTGGACTTCATGATGTTGGCTCAGGTGATCCCAATCATTGTCGCTAGTTGCCTATTGTTCTTAGGGCAACATCCATGTGTGGTGTCGGCCACTATCTTATCGAAGAATGGAAAAAAATGATTTCAGTTCTATAGTTCAAGAAAGGGGTAAAGAGAGGGGAACCCTATTTTGTGGCCATACCGATTTACAAAGAAGGGATGGAAGTTGGAACCGATACCCAATGGGGTGAAACAGGTGTTGAAAGAGTTTGAAGATGTGATGCCAGGGAAATTGCCTAAGGTCCTACCCCTTCGAAGATCGATGGACCATGAAATCGAGCTCCTCTTAGGAGTCAAACCCCCTGCTAGAGCCCTTTACTGCATGGCCCCACCAGAGTTGGTCGAACTAAGAAAACAATTAGACGAGCTTTTACAAGTCGGGTTTATTAGGCCATCAAAGGTACCCTTTGGAGCACCCGTGCTATTCTAGAAGAAGCATGATGAAAGTTTATGGTTATGTGTAAACTACAGGGCCCTGAACAAAGTCACAGTGAAAAACAAATATCCCGTCCCTCTTATTACAGATTTGTTCAATCAACTAAGTCGGGCCAAGTATTTTTCCAAATTGGACCTAAGATTTGGCTATCATCAGGTCAGAATTATGGAAGGAGATGAGCCAAAAACCACTTGTGTAATATGGTATGGTGCATTTAATTTCTTGTTATACCTTTTGGACTGACTAATGCTCCTGTCACATTTTGTACATTGATGAATCAGGTATTTTATGACTATCTTGACAAATTCATGGTCATCTATTTAGATGACATAGTGATATATAGCTCTACTTTGAAAGAGTATCAAGAACACTTGTGCCCTTATGCTTCGAAGATTACAAGACCATCAATTGTATGTGATAAGGGAGAAATGTGCTTTTGCCCACCTAAATCCACTTTTTAGGACACCTTATTGAACGTAGCCATATTCAAATAGACATGAAAAAGGTTAGGGTCATCAAGGAGTGGATAACACCAAAGAATGTTAGTGAACTTCACTCATTTTTAGGATTAGCCAATTATTACAGAAAATTTGTAGAAAGGTACTCTCGTAAGACTACGGCCCTCATAGAGCTATTGAAAAAAGAGCATAAATGGGTTGGACAAACAAGTGTCAAGAGACCTTTAAGGGATTGAAAAAAGCCATTATGAAAGACCATGTCTTAGCTCTCCCTGACATTGAGAAGCTTTTTGAAGTTCAGGCAGATGCATCTGATTTCACTATCGGGGGAGTGCTTTTACAAGAACATCACCCAATAGCATTTGAAAGTAAAAATCTAAGCGAAGCTGAGAGGAAATATACAGCTTAAGAAAAAGAACTCTTGGTGTTAATTCATTGTCTGAGGACTTGAAGACACTATTTGTTGGGTTCACACTTTGTCATGAAGACAGACAATGCGACAGTTAGCCATTTTCTCACCTAACCAAGACTCATAGCGAAGCAAGCTAGATGGTAAGAATTTTTAGCTAAGTTTAACTTTTGTTTTGAGCATACCGCTAGAAAGAACAATCAAGTGGTCGATGCATTGAGCAAACAAGTAGAGTTAATGGCCATTAGGAGAATTGCCCTGATGGTGGCTAGTAAAGTTACGACAGATGTTCACAAGTTGATTGAAGATAATTTAGGAAAGAACCCATAGGCCAATGCCATTCTGAAGTTAGTTGAAGAAGGAAAGTCCAAATATTTTTAACGGGAGAATAGGGTCTTATAGACAAAGGGCCCTCGATTTTATGCTAAAAGTAGGAGGTCTGAGACAGATGTTGATGAAAGAATGCCATGACACACTATGGGTAAGACATCTGGGTTGGCAACGCACTTTGGCTCTATTGAAACAAGGATATTATTAGCCTTACATGTGGTAAGACGTGATGGACTATACAAAGACTTGCCTCATTTGCCAACAAGAAACTTACAGGCATGCTTAAACCACTACCAGGCCCACTAGATCATGGGAAAGTATCTCTCTTGACTTCATTTTGGGCTTTTCCAAAGTTGGCGATCTTAGGGCTATTTTGGTGGTGATCGATCGTTTCTCAAAGTATGCCACATTCATTCCCACCCAAAAGTATTGTACTGTGAAAGACACAGCTCGGCTACTGTTTAAACAGGTGATCAAATATTGAGACCTTCCTCAGAACATTGTAAGCAACAAGGATCCAAGATTTACGAGGTCATTTTGGAGAGAACTTTTCAAGATATTAAGGTCCCAACTCAACATATCTTTAAGCTACTACCCCCAAATCGATGGCAAAATTGAACGATTTAATGGGTTGCTAAAGGAATACTTAAGGCATTTTGTTCAAGCCAATCAAAAGGATTGGCTTTCATTATTAGACGTTGCTCAGCTTTGTTTTAATTCCAACAAGAGCTCTTCCAATAATAAAAGTCCATTTGAGGTGGTCACTGGATAACTGTCAAGGCTACCCCATACGTCTCTGGAGCAATATGGAGGGAAGAATCCGTGAGCATTCAACCTTGGCAAAGAACGAAAATAAAACACAGGGATTGCACAAGCCTACCTGGAGAAGGCGTCAAAACGAATAAAGAAATGGGTAGACAAAGGTCGCAAAGTGCAACAATTCCAAGTTGGTGATTTAGTTCTTATCCGACTAATATCTGAACAAACCAGGTTCTTGAGGAAGTGAGATCATAGATTGGTGCACAAATATGAGGGTCCAGTGAAGATCCTCTCCAAGGTGGGGAACGTTTTTTACAAAATCGACCCATCAAAGTGGATGAAGGTGCATCAAATATTTCACGTGAACAACCTAAAACCTTTTCATACAAACCCTATAGACGCTAGCCACAGGGAGTCAACCAGGGCCGCCATCACCATAAAGCCACCCTCAGAACGTCGGGTTGAAGAGATCCTAGCTGACAGGGAAACCAAGGTATCTCGAAGACTAGTCCGTGAATACTTAGTGAAGTGGGAGGGATTAGGACTGTAAGAAACTAGTTGGGAAAGAGACCATGACCTCCGAGCATTCAAGAGGAAGATTGAAGAATTTCAAGCCAGCAAGTCGACAAGGACGTCGATAGAATAGGTGGGGGAGGATGTCATGAGCCAACCTTGTATAGGGCTATAATCGGGCTTAGGTTGTCATGAGCCACCCATGTATAGGGCCATAACCAAGTAGAGGTGCCAAAGAGGGAGGCTAGATCTTTTGTGCTAGGAAAAGTGTCCCCATTTCAAACATTGTAACGGTTAGTGGTAGCATAACTCTAAAATCTCGTTTGCTCTTTAAAGGGAGTGAGCAGTCGGCATATTGTTGGGTTGCCTCACTGGTTAATATATGTGCTAGGCCACCTGTCAAAGGCTACCCTTCTGGTCCCAACATGGTGGGAAATCTCGATGTACTATTCTCGATATTAATAAAATATTATTTTTATTCGAAAATCTCAAGTGTTGGTCCGATGTGCTTTCTTTCTTCCGATATGAATGTGTTTACTCGTGTATGTTTGAGATTAACTTGTGGCTTGTTGTTACCTGTTCAGATATCAAACTATCTTAGGTTGACTTGGGTAGAAGCGTCCATTCTAATGTCATACGGTCTATCGCTTCATTAAGAAAAAGCTTAGCCCGTGACACTGAGGATCATGAAAGCATACAGCTTTCCAAGTGTGTTGGCTGGAATTGGACCATATAGTCCGACATCATGAAGGCTTTTATGTTTTGATTTTAAAACTTGTAGTTATTGGACACTTCAATTCATTTAAGGAGGTACAAATGAACATTTGGGCCGAAGCCATTAACTTATTTTGTGCATCTCTTGGAACAAGAAATTGGTATGCATTTAGGGGATTGGGATGACAGATAAGTTCTGATTCAAGAATTTGTTGCCAACATTAGGTGGAAGATTGGGTTTGGATACCATAATAACTTAGTAATACTAAAAATTACCAAAAGACAAGTGCCTTTCTACTTGAAACTGATTTCTAACTCCCCCTGCCCTTGTTAGGCTAGCTACATTATTAATAAAAGTCCAAAGAAAGGGTTTTCGTTTCTCTCTAAAACTAAAAAGGAAAGTTGCAAAGCTCAAATCTTCCTTTCAAATAATGTTTCAATCCAATAGATAGAAGAATCCTTTAGATTAGTTGATCACATGGTTTAAGTGAAGTCATATTTGAGAGAGAATCTTAATAATTGAAGCAAGTGAAGGTGGGTTTGTTCTCAAAGTTTAATTATTATTATTATTATTAAAAGAAAAGGGTTTGACTTAAACTGGTGGATTAGCCTTCACTTAATAATAAGATAATGAAGAATATCTTGTTTAGATTTAGTTAGCTTAATATATTGTAAAATCGCCAGCTTAAGATTTATTTATTTTTTTATTATTCTGGTTTAAGCGTTAGGTAAATTGTTTCAAAAGATGCTGCCAAAGTTTTTTTGAAGTTAGTTGCTGCCAAAGTTAAGAATGTCATATTCATTTCATAACCACCTACACCATAATCAGTTGAATTTTTGAGTGGAATATATTTTAAAGCCGGTATTCCCTTCCCACCTGCTACGTGTTAGGTTAATCATTTTTTTTTTTCTTTCTGAATATTGCCGTCAATGGCATGTTCTAGTTACGTATTAATAATATGCGTTTTTTCCCCAGAACTATGTCATTCTTTTCTATTGACTAAAATCTTTTTAATGTCAAGTAATCCGAGTGATAAAAAAATTAATTTTTTTAAAATAAAATTTTAGTTTCGAATCTTGTGAATAAAAAAATAAATATTAAAAAAGTTTATCCTCTTATGAGATTCAACCGAACTCGATTTTAAAATAATCGAGATCCAAAATTACTACAGAACATTGAGAGATTCCAAAAAAAAAAAAAAAGAAAAGAAAAAAACCCCTAACTCCTTTTGGTTCACAGCTCCCCTGTTCATCTTTACTAAAATGCATTCAACTGTTGTGTTGCCTGGGCCAGAATAGAATGATGGCCCAGTGTGGCTCCTCCACCCCATGGGCTGAGAAGCATGAACACTGTTAGTCGACGAGGACCATATAGTCTGAAATCATGACCCTACAAGTTAAATAAGCTCATCATGGTTGGCTTTTAGCAAACGAAATTTTCCCGTGTTTATTACCATTGAAGAACTTTAGCCATGTAAGGCACCTAATACCCTGGATGAGAAGAAGTTGGGCACCGGCACACTGCCAAAAATCTGCTTCAATCTTTACAGGCCCACAGATGAATACTTTAAGACCAATTAGTATATCAAAATTTCTTTTGCAGAAACACATTCTCACTGCCTTATTCACTCACTCATTTAATTCAGTGGTAAAAGCTGCCAGATTACATTCTTTCAAAGCAACCAAATAATTATAAGGCAACAAATTATAAAAGGAAAAAGAATAAATATGAATTATAAAGATGAAAAAACCCACTTCTTAGATGTTATAAAAGCCCAAAAGGTTCGGGCAGAGGCTCAAATCCATGATCAAAGATGGATCCTTGATCAGATTTATCATCAATACTATGCAGCCAGTTCGTACTCTTCAAGTCCTCCTTTAGCAATATTGAATCATAACGAGAGCTCTCATAGATGTCCACCTCACTTAATTTGGCAGAGTATCTCCCATCATGGAAATCACATCCGTTCAAAGCAGATCTGCTAAGACTATTTCCATTCTCAGAGAAGTCTCCATTTTTCAAGCTACCAGGGCTTCCATTGCTATTGACAGAGTTTGACGCACTTAAGGAACGAAGAGGTTGGGTTTTGGAAGTGGCAGATCGGATGCTCTGAGGGAAAAGGGTTGTGCCAGAAAGGGAACGAATGCTCCCTGTGCCATTTCTTATGTCCTACATCAGAGATTATAAATGGTGTTAGGATTATCCCGCATGATAGACCATATATATCCCATGGAAGTGGGAATGCTTGTTTCTTAGTAACCTAACACGATGCAGTCTCTTCCTAGTGCAGAAGCATCCTTGGAAAAGATTACAACCAATTCCAACTGTTAAACCAACAATTATAATCTACTTCAATGACACTATTCCTTTGCTGCATTAAAATTACTTAGCACATGATCAAGAAAAAGAAAAAAGGTTTTAAAACACATCAAATGGCTAACATTTGCAACAAGCAGATTTTCACCTAGGAGTAAAGAATTTCATTCAATCAAAAGTTGAAGTTAAGCATACCATATGCCTAATAGCCATATCCAGTGATTTTTTTGAGATAGTCCTCCCAAATCCCGTGCTATCTGCAGTGGTTGTTGAAGACTTTACAGGTTTCCGCATAGCTAAATCTGAGACATGTGATGTCTTTCGAGACTCATGAATGTCAGATGCATGCCCATTGGAATGGACACGAGTCCTACCAGGAGGTTCAGAAAGTCTTCCCCTTGTGACAATTGGGGATGAATGTCTTCTTGGAATATTTACAGAACTACTAGTATCCTGGTTTGCCTTCACGTTGACAGAAGCACCAGGCCTAGACCTACCGGCAGAGATAGGCCTATCTGGCAAAGTTGTTCTAAGGTTTGGTGGTGTGTCAAGAGGAAAATCAGGGGGCACAATTGGCTGTTGTTGGGGCCGGACTCGTGGACCGGGGGAGTTTGGTCGGGAGGAAGGAGCTGCACTGCGAGCATTTGAAATAATGTGCCCAGCAGAAGGCGAAACACCAGCTGCTGAAGATAGAGAAGGCATTGGATTCCGACGTGTGGGAGTCGATGGACGAGAATTTGATCGAACAGCTGTTGAGTTCAAGCTTCCAGGGATTTGTGGTCTAGAAGTTGGAGTAGATGTCCTTGAACTTTGTGATGGTCGACTCTTGTCAATATAAGAGCTGGTGAGAGATGAAGAGACTTTTGAAGGAGTTGAGGGTCGTGATGATGTGGGGCGGGCAGACGGGGTAGAAGGTCTTGCAGTTGATGGTAAGCGGGTATTAGGAGAGGATGGTCTAGTATAAGATGACACAGAAGCTGAGCTTGTATTGAGAATTGAAGTGCCCCTGTTTGTGGAAAAGGTACTATACGAAGAAGAGACAGAAGGCCGAGTTACTGAACTGCTTCTAGTGGATCTTGAGGAATGATTGCTTTCAGATTGTGAAACTGAAAGCTGAAACAGAGATAATAGAAAAATTAGTTACACATGATTGAAAACTTCAAGTGGTTGAGGCACTGTACACTGGCCAACGCAGAGGCTAACTCAACAAGAATCAAATGCCAACCAAAAAAGAGAACAACCATGTAAACATCAATCCGTAATTTTGCCAGAACTGCAGGAACATAAAAGTTAGGGGAAAATAAGTCTAAAAGTAAGAAGGAAATGCATACCCTTGAAGCCTTTGTGGTTGAAACTGATCTAACTTTGGTATTGCTTCGTGGAGCTAGGGAAGTTGACTGAGATTTGGATCCCTCAGATGAAGGAAAAAGCGGAGTTCCAGGTGGAGTCAGAAGCCTAATGACACAAGTAGTTATTATATGCATAGACAGAGAGACAAGGATTTCCAAACAGAGTCTAAATTCAAGTTTCAATTGAGTTAGCACATCAATATGTTACCCAATAATCTCTTCAAATAGTTATTGGACCACTAAAGCAATTAAATTTTGCCTTTTAAAACTTAGGGTGTACGTATTCATCTCAAAGTTTGTTTACTTTGAGTAAGTTAACATCATTGTAAGTGTAAAATTATTATCATACAATTTAAACTTCAGATCAATCAAAGATAACTTGATACGTGTAAAAATAACGTGAAAAGTAGAAATTTGCATGAAGAAAGGTAGTTCATTTAGATGTTTGTATTCTGCATTCTGTTCATTGCAGACCAGCTTCAAAGTGATATACTGAGAAACGCTAAGCATCAGGGCAAAGTGGATGTGTCTACCATTATGATCCATAACATCATAGATTGTGACTTTAATTTCTTCAAGGGGAAAGCATGGCTTTCCCGTCACCTTTATTTATTTATTTATTTTTTTGCAAAATCACGTTAGGGGAAAAGTGTTAGCCATAGGGGAGAATTCAGTTTGGTTTTTGAAAAGAAAAAAATTGAACTGAAGCTAAATCCTGCCTTTACCATGATGTTGCTATAGAGGTAAAGCAAAAATAGCACCAAAAAAAAAAAAAAATCAATTTTGATGATAGATGAGTGAAATAAATAAAAGCTAACTCCAATTCAAAGTTGAAAGATCCTGTCAACCAAACAGATCCAAAGTGAAAATGATGGAATGAAGAGTTTTACATGTCAATTAATTAGTTTAAAATTGGAAATGAGAGAGCTGTGATTTATCTGAATATAAAGAAAAGAAAATTATTATTAGTATTATTATTATTGCTACTAATAACAGTATTGATTTACCAGTCATAGTCATGCTTTCCTCCATCTGCAGAGGAAAGTAGATCATCAAGCCCAACCTTTCCCACTTTTGCTGATCCAAGTGATAGTCTTCCCAGTTTTATTGATACTGCAAGATCAAAACATCAAACGTATTTCAGCAATTGAAAACTAAAAGCGTTCTTCATTTCACTTGGGTCAACCTTCTTTCATTTATTAAAAGACTTCGTTCCCACTGAGGCCATATTTGCATTGCAATTTGCAAATAGAAACGAAAACCATCAATCTTTTTCATATTTCCATCCCCTCCTCCCCATTGAAAAGAAGCTCAGCTAACTGCCCCTTTTGAAACCGACAAACTAATCTTACAATAATAGTATGAAACTAAGGGAAAACAAACAAAGAAACGAATAGAATAGAATAAAAAATTTCAGAAATAAGTGCACTGTGATTACCATCGGAGGATTCATCGGAGGAAGCGACGGAGAGGCTACGGCGGTTTTTGGAGAAGAGATCCAAATTCTCGTCTGAATCCCTGTGAAAAAACCCACCATTCAAACTTTGACCACGGCGGTGATGATGGGAGGCCGCCGGAACTTTGTTATTAATATTCCAGCCGCCGCTCACCAGAGAGTCCCTTAAATTCCTATTCATCATCTTCGTTGGGTTGGGGATTCCAACAAATTGCGTGGTGCCACTCCTATGCTGAGCCTGATGCTTCCAACCCCAACCCCATCTCTCTTTCTTTTTTTTTACTTTTTTTTTTTTTGGTGAAAATGCAGGTTGCCTCAAGGAGAAAGAGAGAGAGGGAGAGCGAGAGGAAGGGGTTGAGGCAGCTTGAGATCTACCGCGAAAGAGAAATGGGGGAATGCGACGGAGAATCACCGGGCTGTTACTGTATCTTTTCTTTCTAATTTTTTTATGTTAAATATTATTATTATTATTATTATTAAAGTCATACGTGGGGAAGTGAAGTGGGTGTTTAGATCTGTGCAGTGCTCTGCGTCTTCTGTCCCGGCCTTTTTCACGCAAGCAGCTTTTATTTTTTTAATCATTAAGTATTATAATGGTAATATTTAATATTTTATTTATTTTTGTTTATTTCCTCTCCTATAATAATAAT